CGTCATGCCTCGGCTGCCCCAAGGCTTGCAGCCGACGGTGGCCTGATCCGGCGGTGGACGGAGACAGCACCATGGTCACTGGTTGGCCGTTTCCCCCCGATTGTCTCATCCTGTGTTTGTGCATGGAGCCAAAGGCACGGTCAAAGTGGAGGAAGTGATAGCTTATTTCACTGGCTGTCGTTGTGTGACTTGTCCCGTGTCATTTGTAAGACTACGTCGCGATTCAGTCAAAGGTTGATAGACAAATTCCCAAGTTCTTACAATTCTTGCTGATTGTCTCGTCGTCACAGAATCTGGACAACATTTTGACACGCTAACACCGACAGTAATTGTGTTCGCACATCCCGGAAGTTTCAGAACCTGAGAAGTCAACGTCCTAAGGTGTTCACAAACCCTTAAGCGCGATCCCCAGGGGACAACAAAATGAACGTTTTTTTCGGTGGGGACAGCAGAGGCAGACAAGCGGCAACATCCCAGGGCGAAAGCACACCGGACTCCGGACTCCGAATGAGAGAACCATTTCAGTCACCGCTTAGCCGGAAATTCTCGAACCCGCGGATGTGTGGTCCAGACGGGCTAATCGCTCCAATATCGCCGGACCGCTTCTGGTAGCTGACTGTGCTCATTGAGATGCTACGTTGTCTGTCATAAGCTGACTGTGCTCATTGAGATGCTACGTTGTCTGTCATGTGGAGTCTGTAGGGCGTGGCGTCAGTTGCAGAGTGTGGTGAGCCGGTAATAATTTGGTGCGTATGGCATGTTAGTAAACTTCTAAGCATATCTCTTTGAAATACTAAAAACCTTACCTGCACGATCCAATATATTACACCAGGTTTTCCTCTTTCAGTGCTGACATTTGGTGGTACAAACCACAGCTTCTCCATTTTTCGTTGAGATTAGACGTAGTGGGCATACTTTGCAGTGGACTAGACGAGACAGATCGTGAGAACATAATCTCGTAACAACTGATAAATATTGCGGCGATTTCCCAGAGCAGATGATACTGTAGAGCATTTCGCCGACGAACGCGGGACATAACATAACATAACGCGGGACCGCACCAAACGGTCTCAAATGTTGGATCTGGTGCGCACATGCACCTGTACACGCTCGCGACACCTACACAGGCATGGCCCGACGTGCCACGGGCGATCCCAGTTTTTATAAAGTGGTGGGGCGGCTTGCTCCCACGCCCCAAATACAGGATGGTATATCGAAATCGTTATGACGGCAACGGAAATGTTGGGGAAAGAAGAGATTCAATCCTGTACATGGTCACTCCTGTAATCATTTGCTTTCACCTACTCTACCGGTATGCCAAACAGCGAAGTCCGGCTTTCTTGACTGCGTCGACATGAGTCTTTTATGCTTCGGGCGTGTACAGAAAAATCCCTGTCACCCCGCTTTGCCGTTCACGAGACCTGGCGTTTCTGTCGCCACTTCGACGAGTGGACAGGAATTCCTTTCATCTTAAGCGGGGTTTCCTTGATTTTTTGAGCGTTTGCCTCCGCTCAGACATTATCAGTGGCAGCTCTGGCGCAGTGGCGCACCAGACATTCGCATGTCTCAAGCTGGTTGCTCTGGTGCAGTGGCGCACCAGACATTCACAAGTCTTAAGCTGGCTGCTTGTACTCTCCACCACCATCCATCTCCCCAGCAAACATGCACCGAACGTGACCTACCGACAAGGTGAATCGCATGCTGTTGTACGTGCGCAAGTGAATTTAAGGATTTATGTGTCGACAGAGGTTTCGTTCTTTGTAAGGGAAGGGGTGGCAGCTTATTTTGTGTTGTTTTAGGCATATACCTGGGTTACGTTGTCGTTACAGGGCGGCGCCACCACCGACCTCCAATGGTCCACCACATCAGACTACAGACACGGCGATAGCACGATGGTGAAAATACGTTTTTGGTGCTGAGGCTGTCATTTCGTTTAAATTTGAAGATCACTTCAAGTCGAACTAGAAACATGGACCCACAACACTTGCGAGGAAGGAAAGGATACAGACCACGAGCCGAAGCTTAACGGCATGCGTTGCGTGAGTTAGCTGCCCGATTTGCGGCTCGACATTGCGGTCGAAACCTTTCCGCTCTGCCCGTTGACAGCCAAGTCATAGAGACCCCGGTGGTCAGAGCTGAGATCAGCAGCCGTAGCTGACGTCATCTCGGCGACGTTGCTACTGACAGAACTGCCCTGGACGATAGGCAGCCGATGGATTGCTCCTGCAGTCGGCTTGCCGGACGATCCCGTGACCGACCGCTGTGTAGTTGCTACACCGCTGAGCTCCTAAGACAGCCGCCACAGACTAAGCTCGTTTGCATGCGGCTGGCAGATGAACCAGTGATCAGGCTTCCCGTCAACCAGCCCAAACCGTCGGCAGATGCCGTCAAAGAGTCCATTGTTTACGGCGGTAACCTGACACCTGGAGACAGTCAAACAGACAGTCAGGAGACAGGAGACAGACAGTCTCTGCCACGCTCGTGATGTGCTGTTCACAGGATGTTGTTTGATGATGTCGTTCACCTGGAGTTGCCTCAACTGGCATATGGCGTTACTAGACTGTGTGGTTAAGCGCTTTACGTGTTGTTCACCGGGCTCGGCTTTCACACCCGCCTGTTCTTGTTGGTCCACATTTCCTGGGCCGACATAGGTGAGATCGGTCTGACCGTCGAGGTGCAGTGCAACGAGGCCCAGGCCGTGATGACGGTCGGGTCTGACGCGCTATTCTTCCAAGCGAGTCTGGCGTGGAGCTGGCCACAGCTTTTGCCTTACACCGCTCAAAGCCGGCGCCCCCGTTGGCCGCCCTGATGCGAACGATGCCCGTTTGGAAAACATTACAGATAACATCCGCTGCCCGGTTTGAAATGCCGTACAGGTACGGCATTTCAGGTGCGGTACGGAATTTCTTTATATACTGCGCTGGCCGCCTACACAACTGTCGCCGGCTAGCGCGATATTTTTGGGTTCTCGATTTCTGTCCGACGCCGGCGTTTCATTCTTGTGACTGGTGGCCGTGAACGAAGACACGGGGTTTGCAATGTTATCTCGCAATCCTGAAGGTCCACCTAAGTCAGAGACGCCACCCCCCCCCCCCCCTCAGGCCAGAGCTGCTGACTGAGCTTGCTGCCGTTAATTGCCAAATTCCCAAGCGCAGCCGTCTTGCACCAGAAAGCTGTCCTTGAACAGTCTCCAAGCGATATACACGACAAGGACCAAGCGCCACAGCTCTCTCCCACCTTTCTAGAAAACAAACTCGCCTGCCTGCACTTTGTTGGCTAGTGGACGAAGTATGACAGTGATTCATGCTGACTCACTTGCAACGTGCGGCGGTCAACTAAGCCGCCAACCAATCCGTAGTTTTTTATTACCGCGTTTAATGTAACTGCTAGTTAACATTACGACGAATACGGCCATGGCTGTGCATGGAAGGAGCGACCTAAAAGAAGAAATCCGAGTCTGCAATAATATTACACGTTACGTTACAATGTAATGGTACAAAACGGCACCCTCGCGTAACATTTCCAACGGTAATCTGTCGGCCTACTGCACTATAGGATGGAATAAATGAAGCATTCATGAGTTAGATTTGTTGATTTCATTAAACTGCCGAGTGCAATGCACCAGAATTGCCCTGACCACAGCTTTCGGCTGGATTTACTTATTGCCGCTAGGTAGCAGCACTATCCCTGATGGATAACTTACAGGGACACATCAAACCAGCTGGCGTGTGCTGAGCTCTTAATCGATTTGAAAATAAAGCTGTTGCGTTGTTCTTGTCATTGCACGCCTAGTGGTCAACAGCTCATAGTGTTTTCAGGACAGTGTGTCTGCTGATACACCCTATTGAATTGCCCCTCCGCTTAGTGGATGCGGGTTGATATAGTACCTGAACAAAGGAAGAACAAAAAGGGTCCCCAGGCAAGTGGCAGCCCGTCTCCCGTTGTCACTTCGCTCAAAATGAGAAAGCAGGCTGCTTCTTGAATTGACTCACCCGTCGCCCGGCGGTGACTCACGTCCGCTGTTGGATTCTTCAACTGCTTCAGGTGTGAATACCTCCGAAATAACTGGGCTTTTTACCCAAGCGGTCTTGTATCGACAGCTTGGTGTCCTTGCTGAGCATGAATGGGACTCGGCCATGCAAACCAAAGCCAAAGGAACCCAAGCTGACACCATCTACACGGACCATTCCCCGTCTTTTCGTGTTGATCGCACACTGTAGTCGCACAAAATGAAACGTCCAGTTCATGGGGACTCGTGTGCTTTGATACCAGCGCCATTTCAGGCGTCGACTGACATTAATACTCACAAAATAAAGCGTACCCAGAGGACCACAGTCAGTGTGTTGTGTCAGACGGACGGCGGATGCTATGGGTGCCAGTGCAATGGGACGACGCAAGCGGTAGTATCTGTAGCCCATCACTCTTGCATTATTTTACCGCCGACACTGCCCCAAATCAGGACCAGGCGTGCAAATCCTGCGATTTTTCAGGCCAAACGCGTGCTCAGACCAGCTGTCCTCCGCGTGCAGCTACCGTGCTGTCCCACCAAACAGCACCGAACTTGATATCGAGCTGTGCTGAGGGCCTCCCGCCCACGTCCGCTGACTCATCGACTGAGTCCGCGTCGCCCGGGTGGCAGCGGCCGAGACGCGCACGTTCTCCCGCCGAGCCCCGGTTCCAAACGGACGCTTCGCCGAGCGTTTTCCTACCCCTCCAAACGGGCGTCCGCTGAAGGAGGGCCGAGCGGTTCACCCGGGTGCTGACATTTTCAGAGCGCGGCGGCCAAAGGTCAGTAGTGGGCGCGCGCTGGCGTGGCTTCCCCGGCCGGCCGGATAGCGCAGCCTCCAAAGGTCAGCCCCGGTCGCCGCCGATGGACGGGCGGCCGAGACACGGCCAGCGGCAGGGCGCGCTGGGCGGCCGTGTGTGGCCCTGACTTGGCTGCCGATGTCAGCTGTCAGATGGCATTCCACCGTTGGGCGCTCCGCGCCAATAACGCCAGCGCTAATGACATCCTCTATTCAAACAACGGACATTGCGTAATCTCAGGTGAGCGTGCATTATACAAAATGGACGAGGACTAGATTCTGGTCGATATGTGACCACAAGCTTATTGACATTTCCGAATGGAAACAGACACATTTCAATTAGTAAACGGCTGAACGAATTCTATAAAATCCGAGATAGACATGACATATCCAATGACATTGAGAAGACGCTAAACATACCTCCATCTTGTACTCAGTATCAAAATACGAAGGTGAGCTGGCATCCCCAGGCAAAACTGCGGCACCACTGCTTCAGATAACAACAGAATAGGTCCATACAGTAGAAACGACGCGGCACTATCTGCATGCTCACTCATACTAACGCTCTTTGGCCACAAGATGCGATGGACGGGTTGGAGTCGCGTGAAGCGGGGTGCATCACAAACACATTGTTCAACATCCTACGCCCTCATATAAATAGCACTCGCCCATGGTCACTTCCACCGCTTGAACGCGTGGCACTGGTGCGTCCAACGCCGCCTAGTGGCGCCGCCAAGCGGCCGGTCAGGGCTTCTCGACGTGGCTGAAGAACCACTGGGTGAAGTTGCGCAGCTGCTGAGCGGCCAGCCGGCTCTCCTGCTGCAGCCGTTGGTTGTCCGAGCTCAGCTGCTGGACCTGCCGGTCGCGCGCGTTAGCCTGAACATGTGCCTGTGGCAGAAAACCTGCGCAGCATAGAGGGAACCAGTGTTTAATGGAATGAATTGATGCGACACATAGCGATCCAATGCTGAGCACTCACGAACCGTAGACGTCATGGCATGTAAGTGTATTATCATGCGTTATTTATCAGCGTGGATAAATGTGGATATCGTTATTTATCAGTGTTATGTATCAGTGTGGATGAATAACGTCCATATAATGGGTGTATTATCTACTTCCAACAAGATATCATACAAGATTATTCCAAACTAATTCCAAGATAATTTCAAAGCTACACTTACATTATGCACCTGGAGCACAATGCCTGACAAATTGTTACAGCTCAGCAGATGAAGATCAATGTCATAAAGTGTCACTTTACGTCCGCCCGAAATGGATGACCCTCGCACGACTAAAGCATCAGAGTAAGCTTAAAGCAAGTGCGACAAACGGCCAGTTTATCCGATCCAAGCTGCCCCAGGCGCGGGCCTCTCAGCACAGGACCACAGACGGCTAAGTATCCCCGAGTGGCGCAGCTAGGGTGCTGGATCCACACAACACACCGGCTGCCGCCTCAGGCCCACTGGCGATACAACCCTGCACGCAGCCGAAACCAGCGTTTGCAGGCTACGATGCTGTAGGCTACGATGCTGTAGGCTACGATGCTGCACGCGGGTGACCGGGAGCCTCCACGCCGTGACGCGCGGCGGCGGCACGCACCTGCGTCTCCAGCCGCTCACGCTTGGATTGTTCGCTGAGCAGCTGGTGCTCCAGCGAACTGAGGCGGGTCTGCAGCTGGTCTGGGGGCGGCGGCTCGGCCGCCGCCGGCGCCGCCGCGTCGCCCGGCGGTGACCTGGCGGACGAGAGTGTCAGTCGCCTGCCCAGGCGGGGCGGGGCACAGACGCGCGCGGAGACGGCGCGGAGATGCCGACAGCGCAGAGACAGGGCCAGCGGCGGCCACCGCACAGAGCAAGACAGAGGCAGCGTGGCGGCTTCAAGACCTTCTGCTGCTTTTACCGCACATGCGCAGTACAGTGTGACTATGAGGGGCATCGCCAACATGCAGCTGATTCGGCTGTGCTCAGGGGTTTCTAAGCTACAATCGTGTTTGGGCGCGCCCAAGGTGTAATTGTTAAAACCTTTAAACACCGGACAGCCTTGAAAAATATCAGCTCACATATCATTGTTACTTAGCGACTTCGGGCTAGTTGAACTAGAACCATTTAGCGTCTGTGGGACCTGGCAGCAACAACTGCCCGCTTGTGCGGAAAATCCGGCCACGCCCACGTGAAGGCCAACAGTGACCTCCAGTTTGCTGCGGCAGGCTGCCATCCTTTACGCCTCGATATCAGTCATGCACTGTATTCCCGTTATCATCAAGGTCCGTTGAACAGCGCCTTTCAAACCTGCAAAACATAAACAAGTACCAAGAAGTTCATTCATGGTGAATACAGAGCCATTCAGCCGTCCTCTCCGGCGCCGGCCTGCTCGGGCAAAGCTACGCCTGCTCCATCCAGACCGGTTCGAGCGTCCACACTGACAGGGAGCTCGACATGGTAGCATCCTCACGAGTCAGTCGCCTCACCTGTGGAAAGGTCACGAGTCAGTCGCCTCACCTGTAGAGAGGTCACGAGTCAGTCGCCTCACCTGTAGTGAGGTCACGAGTCAGTCGCCTCACCTGTGGAGAGGTCACGAGTCAGTCGCCTCACCTGTAGAAAGGTCATGAGTCAGTCGCCTCACCTGTAGAAAGGTCACGAGTCAGTCGCCTCACCTGTAGAGAGGTCACGAGTCAGTCGCCTCACCTGTAGAGAGGCGGGTTGACGCGCACGGCCCGCGCCGCCGTGTCCACCAGCGCCTGCCAGTCGACCTGGGCGGCCGGCAGCGGTACCGGCGGTGGCGCCACCTGCGTTGGCCGTGCTGTCGTCAGCACCCCGCCCGGCTCCTCCGCCGCCAGGGGGCAGGCCGGCGTGGCCTCGCCGCCGCCGGCGGGGCCGCGGGCGGCGGCGGCACGCGCGTGAGGGCTGGCCGCGCCGCTGCCGCCACTGGACGGGGTGGAGGCGTCGGCGCGGGCGCGCCGCCGCAGTGTGGGCGAGCAGCTGTGCGCGCTCAGTTCGTCCTCGCTACGCACCCCGAGCTCGGCGCTACCGCGGCTGGAGCGACCACCGATGCTCTGCTGGCTGCCAGTCAGGCTACCGGCGCTGCGGCCGGCGCCGGCAGGGCTGCCGTGCCCGGCGGCTGGCACCGGCCTGCCCAGCTGCAGCGGCCCGGCCGGCCCGACGACGCCGGCCGGAGACGCGTGGTTCGACCGCGCCGGCTGCCAGACCTGGCCGCGGCTGGCGCTGATCTGGTGGTTGCTGCTGCTGCGGCTCACTCCCCGCAGCGGCGTGCCGTTCGAGCTGAGGTACTGGTCACTGCCGCCGTGGCTTACGCGCGCCAGCGGACTGCAGACGCTCAGGTCGCCGCTGCTGCGACTGTTGGCGATGCCGCGTCCGCGCACGCCCGACTCGGTCGCCTGCCGCCCGCTGGAGCGGCCGGACCGGGCGCGCGGCCCGCCGCCGCCGCCCGACTGACGGGGGGACGTCACGGAAGACTGACCGCCGCCGCCGACGCCGCCGCCGCCCGGCCGTCGGTCTTTCAGCTCGTGGCTGCTGCCGCCGCGCTGCACCCCGCTGAGCCCTCGCTGACTGCTGCCATGGCGTGCCCCCGTGCCGCCACCGCCGCCGCCGGCGGTGGCGGAGGCGGACCCGCCGCTGTGCCGGGCGCCAGCGTTCGCCGGTTCGCCGGCGCTGGAGCTCGTCTGAGACGAGGGGCTGTCCTGGGACGCCCGCGGGCCGGATCTGGGGCTGGGGCCTCTCCGGTCGTGTGCAGGGCCCGCCTGGCCGCCCGCGGGTCGCGGGTCTCGGGCCGGGGAGCTGAGCTGGGCCCGCAGAGGGCTCTGCGAGGCCCGTGGCGGATCCTGGCTCGCCGGCCCCGGCCGTGGCGGGTGGCAGCCCTGCGGCAGCAGAACAGACGCGCGAGGGTCAGGCTGTGCCACGTTCTTGGAAGTCAGTAGTCCCAACGTGTCGCGCTGGACCCGGGGACGCGTGTGGCGAATAACCTGCTCAGGAAACGTGACGATGAACTGAAACACGTCGGTATTGCGACATTGCGACCTTGAGGTGGTATCCATTCAAAACAGCTGTTCAGAAAGAGGGCGCCAATACGCGAAGCAGCATGCAGCTTAAGACCACCAATGTGTGTGAGAACGTTATTGCCCCCCCCCCCCCCCCCGCTCCACCTCCAACTCCACCAGTCTCCAGCACAGGGAATTTCACGCACTTGAACACCTTGAGGTGTAGGGCACAGAACTGTTACAACCAAGTGTTACAACCAACGGTTATCGCCCTTTAAGAACCGCGTCTCCCCATACGTGTGAACAGGTCGAACCAGAGGTGCTAAGGCGGTATCAACCCACCGGTATATATACTTCGACGTCCGAGTCTGTGAGGTAGGTCGACTTGGAGTTGTCGTTCTTGGCCTCCATCAGGATACCACAGTTCATGGATGCCAGCTCGATGTACGCGAAAGCCTCCTTGCGGTGACCCTGCAGCGAGCACCCTCTGATGTGTGATTCCATGTCTCCATGGTGCATTTCATAACCTGAGCCAAGCGTCAAAAGCAGAGCATGCGGCTCAAAATGTGGACTGATACACGCCAGCGTTTCGAGGGAGATGACCTTCATCAACAATGTCTGAAAGCCATCGCAATCACTTCGACAAATCACCACCGCTCATGTAGTCTGACAGAGGGCGCCTCCCGCCAAGCGAACGCACCTGTGGCGCCCCTGGCGGCCGCGGCTGGAAGGCGGCGGGCGCGGCGTACTCGCCGCCCGTTCGTCCGACCCCGTCCGGGCTCTGGCTCTGGCGGCGCCGGGTCGGCAGCGGCGGCGGCTCCGGCTCCAGCTCGACCTCGGCCGAGCCGCTGGACGAGCTGCTGAGCGTGCCGCCCGGCTCGGCGGCGACGGCGCGGTACGAGCGGCCACTGCCACCGGTGCCGTAGCCGGAGCTGACGACGGACGGCGGCGGCGGCGAGGCGCCCCGCTCGGCCGCCGCCTGCCGGCCGCCCGGCTGTTGTCGGCAGGCCGGCTGACGCGGCGCCGTCGCACCTTGGCCCGCTACGTTCTCGTAGTCGGCCGGCGGCGGCGGCGCGCCGCAGGAGGGCAGCGCGCAGCCGCGGCGCGCGGCGCCGTCCGCTGCCGGCGGCAGCACCGCCAGTGACACGGCCACCGACGTCTTCAGCAGGTCCACCATCTGATCGTGGCTCATAGAGCACACAGCGATCTTGCAGATCTGGCGGCGGGCGGCGGCAGGTGATGAACGACGAGTGGAACGCATGCCTCGAGAGCTGCTTTAGGTTAAAACTGTAACGATAGTGCAGTGAAGATAGTGCAGTCACGTCCAAAAAGTATAGTCACGCCGAAAACAGTCACACGGTCACGCCGAAATAGTGTAGCGTTACAGGCATGAAGCTTTCTAATATACCACATACCTGAGCTAACCACATTCCAGCGAGCGAGCGCGGGCGAGAACGAAGGAGCGAGGAAGGGAGCGAGAGATAGAGAACGAGAGCGAGAGAGACCCGGGCTCCGAGACCATGACTTCGAGACTCAGGAGAGTGGGAGCCAAAATTTCGACAAAACCCGAGGGCCCGCCTAAACAACCGACGGAGCGTGCCAGCGCGAGGCTGACTCTGAGCCCCTGACTCTGACTCTGCATCTCTGCGCACGCTCTCACCTCCACCAGCCGCGCGCCCTGGCGCAGCCCGGCCTGCCAGGCGGGACCGTAGCTCTCCACCTCAGTCACCAAGCCGTCGCTCTGCACGTGGAAGCCCAGCTGGCCGAGCTGGTTACGCCGCAGCAGCATCTCCTGACGACGGCACCGGCCGGGTCAGCCACTGACACGTGACATGACACGTGATACAGCCGCATAGTGTGCCCGGTGTCGGCACCCCGCGCGATTACACGGTGAAGCATAGGAGAGGCTGCAAACGTTAGGCGCAGGCACACACAATGAACCGAAAATTGTACAGCATATGTAGATGCTACTCTTGACGCCAAATAAATGCAAACGCCACTGAACCGCTATGAACCTGAATCATCAGACCGTAAATGCATTGAAAACGGGAGGAGCGCATTATGCAGGAACATGCTGAACCAGCGGCGCCTGTTTGTCAGCTTCCACCGCGCAGGCCTCTTTGATGGGGACACCAACACGCGCGTCACCAGCAGCAGGCCTGCGTGCGCGTCGTCGACACTAGCGGCAGGCGATCCGCAGCCTGTGCGGCACCAGCAGCGGACGGACCCGTGTGTCGGTGCCGGTGGTGACGGCCGCCAGCCGGGCGGCGATCTCGGCCAGCTCCTCCGTGTCCAGTGCCGTGTGCGGATGCAGCGCCACGCACTCGCCCGTGTGGTAGTACACACGCAGACTGGAAGGCAGGCCGGTGCGAGTCACGGCGCGATCCGGAGGAGCGAAGCGCGAGGAGCGCCGCGGCCGCTGCCCGCTGCTGAGCGGTGTTACGGCAGAGCACGGGCTGGCCCGCGGGTGTGGAGACACCGCGGGAGCTACCCCGGTCACGTGTGAAGAGCGGCACGGATTCCTTCGCGGTGCTGAGCTTTACGGGCAGGACATATTTTCGAGCATTTACACGTTGGTTATAAGTCGCGGCTGTAGGCCATTATTGGGGCTGTCTTTGTGTAGATGGTTGCAATGATAGTGGTAGACACAGGCCCGTCAGTGTTCACAGCATGCACGATTCTGTGCTAACACGCATAGAGAGGGAGAGCAGCCACACTTCCCACGAAATGGCACTTGTTCCCTTTCGCTCTCGATCACTTCACCATCGGCCTCGCACCACGGCACAACCGATGGTACCCGAGAGCCGCTATGCCGCGCCAGACGCCGCAAACGCCAATTCCCGGCCAGCCGATTCGACGAGCAGAAATGCAAACACCGGCACATGGGTGTGGCATCCGCTACAGCACAGCAGCCGCACCGCGGAGCGCAAACGCACCTGGTGCCCTGCAGTGTCCAGCCGAGAACGCTGGCAGTCGGCGCGGCGAACACCAGGCCGCCCGTGGCCTGCTCCAGCAGCACCAGTGAGTCGGCCGACACACCCAACAGACACTCCACCTGGCGGCCGAGGCGGCAGGCGCTCAGCCGGGGAGGCAGAGGACCAGGGACGGCGGCAGGGGGCGAGGGACGCCGACAGAGGCCAAGGGACGGCGGTAGGAGCCAAAGGCCCTTGTCGCCGGCGAAAGCGACAGAGGATCAGGAACGGTGGCAGGGGTCGAGAGACGGTAGCAGGGGCTCACGGACGTTGGTAGGAGCCAGAGGCCCTTATCGCTGGCGACAGCGACAAGGGCCTATCAGGGACGGCAGCAGGGGTCGAGGGACAGTAGCAGGGGATCACGGACATTGGTATGGGCCGAGGGACGACGGCAGGGGCTCAGCGAGTAAGTCAGAAGATCAGGGACGGCGGCAGGGGCCAAGGGACGACAGCAGTGGCTCAGGGACGGTGGCAACGACTGAGAGACGGCTGTAGAAGCTGGCGGACAGGGGCAGAGGATCAGGAACGGCGTCAGTGGTAGTCGGGACTAGCTGAAGCGTGTCTTAACAAAGCCCGTATCTGAAGGGGTTTGCATTAAAGCTTCTATTTATCGAATACCTTTCCGGAACCACAAAATCGGCAAGTCCAACCACTCAAGGCCAACGACGCGATTCTCGTTGGGGTCTTGGTGCCTCAACCACCACACCAGCACAATACCCTCAGTACTCTGCCCTCGGCGTGCACCAAGTTCCGAGGAGCCAGACGCGCCCCTGCGTCTGCCGCCTTCCACCCCGCTCCACACGCGCCGGCCGCTCCCCACCTGCGCGTGGAGGGACTGGTCGTCAGCCGTCACCGGCCAGCAGACGGCGCCTCTCTGTACGGCGTCGGGCACGAACCGCGGCCGCAGACGCTCCTTCCGCCGGCTGCTGAACGACATGATGGCTGCGGGCGCGTCACAGCTCGGTCAGAGGTCAGGCAATGAGGTCAGAGGTCAGGTCAGGCTGGGGATGCAGCAGAGGTCGTCCTTCCGCCGGCTGCTGAACGACATGATAGCTGCGGGCGCGTCAGAGCTCCGTCAGGGGTCAGGCAATGAGGTCAGAGGTCAGGTCAGGCTGTGGATGCAGCAGAGGTCGGTGGGATGTCAGAGATCACGATGGCTGTGTACGAACTACAGGTCGGTTAAGGATCCTATATACGTCTAAAAACGTGAAGACGTCAGTGATAACACAGGCCAGTCAGATGTCAGAGAAGATGATGGTCGCGAACGCACAGTCGCTGGACCGGTCAGTCGCAGCCAGTCAGCCAGTCGCTGGACCAGTCAGTCGCAGTCAGTCCCAGGTGAGCCGCCAGAGGTGAGCGAGGAGTCAGGCTAGAGGTCACAGTACCCAGCACGGCCACAGCAGTGGCCGGAGCACAACGCGTGTTAGACTGACATTTTACAGCACCGAGTACAGCCTCGCTAAATGTCCTCGGCACTGGTCAGCAAGCTCGCTGTGTAGAAGCGTCCATCAGTATTGCAGACAAATATTTGTTGATGGCGATGAGAATATTGGGCGGACACACATTTGACACCGACATTGCCTCGAGCGGTGGCCGCAGCCGCCACTCACAGAACTTCTGCGGCGCGTCCAGCGTGTTTTCCGTCAGGTAGTTGGTGGCCAAGTCCTTCAGGTATTCGTGCCGCGTCCGCTTCGCCATCGTCATGAACTTGTCCGACTGGTACGCGGCGTTCTCGGCGTTTATCACTGGAGCGCGAGGAGACGGCGTGCGCCTGAGCGTGACGCATCGGTGGCTTCCGGGGCGAACGCAACGCACAAGGGCAATGCCAGGCAGAACGCGACTAAACTTAGCCCGTTATTTACATAAACTACATGCTCCACGGTTCTGAGAGGCCCTCGATGAGCAATGCCAAGGCTGAACCAAAGCCTGGGCCATCGTGACCGCCAGTCAGTGCTGACCGGAGCACGGACTAGTTTCCGACACCATCACGTCACACGGCCGTGTCCGCGAGCGCAGGGCCAGCGCAGCTCTATCGGGGTCACTCTGGCGACGGGCTGGCCTCTACGCCAAAGGCGAGCCGCCGGCGGACACGGCAGTCCGCACGCCCGACCACAGCGGCGGTACGGAACAAGCCGCTGGGCTCGAGGTCCTGGTAAGGGCCGCACACCGCCTGGCCAGGAGCCGGGCGCGTGCTTTACAGAGTCCAGACGGGCTCGACCGACCACTAACACCACTCCGGAGCGTCGAGCAGCACTGGAAAGCAGATGCTTTCAAAAGCAGCAGTGAAGAAAGCACATACCCTCAAATGGCGTTACACTTGGATCAAATCCTACCGTGGGAGAGAACTGGACTGAGCGATCCACGAGACCCACTGAACACCAGCGATCGGATTTTACCTTTGGCATAGAGGAACTCGGCGAAGGCCTGTGACTTGGTAAATGTAGCAGATTCCGGGATCGGGGGACCAAACGGAGGTACGTCCCGAAAACGATTCACAGCCACCCTTGGGGTTACACAGAGTGAGGTTAGAGACGACCATCTCAATCTGAACATAGTACTCATGCCGCCAGCATTGCCAACACAACTGGAGTGGAACAACTCACACGTAAAAGGTGTACCACATGGCATTTTATTTGTCGCATCCATGATATGTTGCATGCCCCTTGCAACGCGCGAAAAGTGTGCAGTTTTTAATAGCATGCCTTTCCAAACGGCCTACATCAAAAGAAAACCTTCAAATCCAACACCTTTCGTCGACAACGTAAGCCAAAAATGGTGCCTCGGTGATGATTAGCACATACGTGGTCAACAGGTACCGTTGCTTCGCGCGGACTCTGCACTGCCGGTGAATGCACGTATAAAATCACGCAGCGTGGCTTTTATCTACCTCCTTGCCGCCACCTCAGTATACCTGCGCGTTACTCACGCATCCCCTTACCTATACTGCGTGTTACCCGAGCACGGGTTCACAGCCTGTACCACGATGAACACGTGCTGGAACTGGGAGCGGATGTGCTTGGGCGTGAACGGCAGCGCGCCAGGCTCCTGGAAGACGATAGTGACGATGTCGTTGCCGATGTACCGCTTCCGCAGCAGCTGGAATGGAAGCAGGCCCGGTGAGACTTACGGCGGAGCACCGCTGGATAGCGTGTGCCCTCTCTCTAACCACAAAAGCGCACTTGGAATCGGGCGTGGCTCTCGAGCTGTGGAACTGGCATGACAACGCTGCCTTGGCCAACATCGTCTGCCGTCTGCAGGCTGGGGTTTGGCAGCTAAGGCGTCTCTACACTGACGTTGCGGTAGATCTCCGTCCCGTGATGCCCACGGAACAAGTTCCTATGCTGACGGTCGTTCCTCAAGCGTTTGGCACGTCGTTTCTGTTTTTTGTCTTCATCTTCTACGGAACGTCTCGAGCGAAATGCTAGTGTACGTGTGGGTTATTATTATTACTCGGACTGACGTAATAGTACTCCTCTTCGATGGTACATTATTACTTTCAGCTTTGTTTGCAATCAACAAACACATGTGTGTTCCCACCGCGTAAATAACACCAAGGACGCGGACAACAGAGGGAACAATGATCACATCCACACGTAATCGTCTCGTGTCCAACACACGAGCTGCTCCCCGGTGCCGCCTCTCTGCCGGAGAGGCCGTCGGCACGGGGCGGCGCGCACCACCCACTACCGGCACGGGCGGCCCCGACCCGCGGCAGCGAGGGTCCAGCATCGACCGGGCCCGCGACCAGCAGGTCAGACTCAGCCGGGGCCCACGTGGCGAGCCTGGCGCGTCACACGGAAACGCCCGGAGTTACTGTCCCTGCAGACGCCAGCCTGGTGCGCAAGCGGATGCTAGCCCCGGACCAAGCGGAAGTTAGCGTTAATAATTATGTTTCAGACTCGGCTGCCCGGATCTGGCCGGCCACGAGGCTCTCCAGCCAGCCACGTCTCCGCTCCCAGCTGTTCCCAGAGCCGCAGGTGTTTGCAATATGAATGCCATTACGGCTGGTGGAAGCGGAGCTCCCTGTGCCGGCCGGCCGGCCTCAACCATCGATCCCGGCCGCTGAGCGGTGCTTCCCGTTCCGGTTCGCCTGGTCTCACGGGGCTGTGGAGCCTCCAGGGTCTGTCACAGGCCTAGGGCTGTGGAGCCTCCAGGGTCTGTCACAGGCCTAGGGCTGTGGAGCCTCCAGGGTCTGTCACAGGGCTGTGGAGCCCTCAGGGTCTGTCACAGGGCTGTGGAGCCCTCAGGGTCTGTCACAGGGCTGTGGAGCCTCCAGGGTCTGCCACAGGGCTGTGGAGCCTCCAGGGTCTGTCACAGGCCTGTGGAGCCTTCAGGGTGTGTCACAGGGCTGTGGAGCCTCCAGAGTCTGCCACAGGCCTGTGGAGCCTTCAGGGTCTGTCACAGGGCTGTGCAGCCTTCAGGGTCTGCCACAGGGCTGTGGAGCCTCCAGGGTCTGTCACAGGCCTGTGGAGCCTCCAGGGTGTGTCACAGGGCTATGAAGCCTCCAGAGTCTGTCACAGGCCTGTGGAGCCTCCAGGGTCTGTCACAGGGCTGTAGAGCCTTCAGGGTGTGTCACAGGGCTGTGGAGCCTCCAGGGTCTGTCACAGGCCTGTGGAGCCTCCAGGGTCTGTCACAGGGCTGTGGAGCCCCCAGGGTCTGCCACAGAGCTGTGGAGCCTCCAGGGTCTGTCACAGGACTGGGGAGCCTCGTCAGGCCGTGGCAGCGCCGGCGTTGTGGCTGAACAGGTCTTGCGATGAAAAGCAGCTTCCTTGGGGTTGTGTGGAAGTGAGAGAGAGGGGGGGGGGGGGACACGGAAACCCGCACCTTAGTGCATGACTATTGATCAACAGAAAACGTTGTTATGGGACAATTCTCCGTCGAGAGAAGTTCAAAATTGCGTACTTCTTTGCCTTCTAATGTAAAAATGTTTTAAATGTCACAGTACATGTTTGACACCATTACGTTAACATCACGGTTGCCTTCAGTACGTCGCTTTCGACAACTTTTTGATACCTGCTTATGAAATAATGAGAAAAAGAGAGTTCTACCCATACCAGCGAGCACTTATTTGTCTCGCACTCACCGCGCTGCGTGCCAATTCTCAATAGCACCAACATCCCACTGTCACGTGTATTATGGATCGTGCGGCAGGGCAAAAATCGCACGCGCGAAGCTAAAATACGTATTTTAGCGCAGCAACCGAGCATCGCAAACGTCGCGGCACAACACGACTCCATGCGAATGAATGAACAAGTGGCGAGTACTTCGGCAATCTCGAACAAACTCCGGGCTAGCCATCGTCAGCAAATAAAGGGACGGCTTGATGTCATGAAAACAAAGAGCCACTCACAAACAAACGCACTGAAACACAAACACAGGCACACCGGTCACGACTCCGCGACAGAAACAGGTCATTGGATCCTGACATGTCCCACGAGGTGTCACTTCACTGTCCCGGCAAAGCGAGGCGGAAGATACTGGCTTGGGTGTTGGTCGGAAATAGGTATCACGATGCGGTCTGCCGATGCCTAAAAAACGCTATATTATGTTGTTGCAAAATTAGCTTTATGAGCTATGAGCCATACAAAATCAGAAAGTGGTGTATCGCGGGATGCCCTCTATTTCCGAAGTTCCTGCCACTACAGACGGGGTGCACCGCACTATCTCGCGTCTAGAAGGCTATTCGGTAGTTGGCACAGCAACAACGGTTGCCGCTGGCAGTAGCAGCAGCAGCAGTCGGCAGCAGCAGTTAATGTATAGGAAACAGAGCCAATGAGCCTTACCATAGCGGTTGCAAGGCTACGGGAGCATGGGTTGCGACGCTCGATCCGTGTCCGTCCTGTCGGCGGACCTCACAAGGTCACGAGGACGGACAGGGAGAAAGCTGGACTCGATGATGAAATGATGAGGGGGCTTTATTTTACGCGGAGTTTACAGATTACCTGGCGGGGAAATGGACTTGGAAGACACGTGTGGAGAAGGGGAACCGGTGTGACCACGACATTTAAGTGACAATTATGCGGGAACATTCGCAGGAAGCCGACTGGTAGGATGAATTTCGTGTTGTTCCTTCGTGAAACGGCACGCGTAGGTAGGCTCGCGAATGCTGGTACTGAACACTGCCTTCTCCGCCGGTCACGTGATTGTAAGGCAAAAGCGCTGCCGACATGGAAGGATGTGGTAAATTACTTACGAAAAGCTCGCTCAGATATGTGGATCAGCCACGACTAATACGAACGGGCCGTGCAGGCCGCGATGAACAGCGGCACCGCCTCTGACCCACGGATTAACGGAAATATTCTGCCTGAAGCCCAGCGCAGAGCTCTGTAGATGGCGCATCGCTACCACGCGTCACTGGCGAGCCGACCATGGTGTTGGTGGGTACACTCAATCCGTTTTTGAGTCGGGCTGCATTGCCTCAAGACCAAAGTCAATTGAAATGCCTGAGCAACAGCCTACACATTAGTCTGAGAACCAGCGTTGAAGTAACGAATAGTGATGCAACACTTTCAGCTGCATTTTTCCTGTTTTGGACTTTCAAAACCAGCGGTTCAAATACCGCCTGCAGCTGATCGGCGGGGCCCGGGCCTGTCACGCAAGAGTGGAGCAGGTCTGCTCACAGAGAGCCGCTGCAGACTGCCCAGTAGCTCTGAGTTGCAAGACCAGTGTCACGCACGATCATCTTTAAAAAGGCGGTTAGCACCGCGTCTTTGATGACGGCTGACGGGACTCCGCGCACATGACTACTCCTGGACCGGCCAGCAAAGTGGTTTGGTTTTGTGCAGCTCCTACCGCCGCCATGAAGCACAGCGAGGCCTATCGCTGACATCGGCAGCCCGTACCGTCATACGTCATACGCCATACGCCTTCATACGCCTTCAACACCATCGCCGAAGCAGGGCTCTGTCGTCGGACGTAACGCCAACCCCCGCCGCCTCGGTCGCCATATTCTGTTACGGCACCAGCCAAACCGATGTGGCGTGGCCGTGTCACTTTCGACCTTACATCACCACGCTGCACGTGGTGTAGTAGTGCCAACTGATCCACATAGGCGACGCTCGGTGTGAGCGTCGGAGGATAAATCAACATTCTGTATGGAAGGCAAACGTGTTTTGATTGCTGATTTCCCGCGATAGCATGCATTTTTAAGGTCTTGCAACGGTTTTTCGCGCTCTTCTTCGCCAGTGCTTTGCCATCGACATGTCCTAAGCTAGCGATCTCGCTATGTTAATGACAATGCTCATGCCACGTTATGGTATTCTTTACAACACATGAAGACGCACCTGTTGCCGATTATTGGGCGAAAACTGCAGCAGGGTAGACACGTGAAACATGATCTCGTTCTCCTGGTGCTTGACGTACACAGAGTATTGCCCCGTCGAATCAGCTGAAAAGAGAGTGATTGAGTGTGAATCGTGATGCATCATCGTCAAATAACGCATAACCACATCTGTTTCACAGCGGACTACACCACCATGAAATCCTCCCCTCCCCAGATAACAACACAAGATAGCTCGCTCGCTGCAGGCAGCGGCTTCATACAGCAGGCCCCTCATCAGATGACAGCGGACAGATACGCCTGCACGGGACACGAGCGCGTGCGCCCTTTCAAACGCGACGTGGGGGCGCGAGCACGAGCGCGGGCGCGACTGGTCGGGTCATCACACTGCGGCGCCGCCGGCCGCCGGCGCCGGTGCAGGCGCGCCCTACGGCCGGACCGGTCGCGCCGGCGAGCCGGCGCTCCGTCCGCAGCCGGCTACGCAGAGGCCGCCGCCAGCCGGCACCGAACCGGCACCGCCGCCGGCTGTCTGCACGACGGACTGCGGAACGCCCGAACCGGGCTGAGCCGGCGGCCGGCGCCGGACGGCCCGTGGAGCACGCGCCGGGCCGGGCGGCTGCTGACGGAGCCGGCGCCGGCCGGGCGGCTCCCGTGAGCGCTGGAGCCGGTCGCGTTCGCACTGGTGCCCCTTCAGACCGGCTCGGCGATGGCGAGAGTAACGACATTAGACCTAGATCCGTGTAAACATGACACACTACGTGCCATCATTTACTGTCAACAGGCATGGACACAGGATTATCAAAATTGCGTCGTCTGTTGAGCTTCATTAATGTGGTTCTCTTTCACGAAAAAGTTACCAAATGGTCATTATGATTAATCATTGTGTTGGCCCTCTACGACAATAATAACGACAGATCATCGTGAGTAATAACAATTAAAAGACTGTAAGGTTTTTCGGGCAAATCAATCAGCCCTTGTCGCTGAAACGATGCGGCCAGAGAAGAGCAGAACCAGACTGTCGCAGGCGATCCAAGGCCAAACGAGCGTAACCGATGCGAACGACGTCTGAGCAATGGTCGCCCATCTCTGACGACACACCTGATCGGGCGGCGCGCATCACCGGCCGTCGGCGATGCCAGGTCGACTGAATCTAAGCGCCTTCGCAGTGCCTGCGTGGCCATCGCTGTATCGACGTCAGGCAGAAAGCGCTCGGCTTGAGCAGTTCTGCATTCCATCCCACACAAAGATCAGTCGTGATCGAAATCAAGCAGAGTGGCGTTTAAAGTGAGCGTCAACAAATGATATGCTGGAACATTTAAGTCTTCGATGCAACAGAAACCCGCTGTAGGTGCAAGATGCCGAGTGTGCTTTAATTCAGTTGGGTAACATCTCTCCTGTGCTCGCAGGGCCATTTAATTCCGTCGGGTTACATCTCTCCTGTGCTCGCAGGGCCATTTAATTCCGTTGGGTTACATCTCTCCTGTGCTCGCAGGGCCATTTAATTCCGTTGGGTTGCATCTCTCCTATGCTCGCAGGGCCATTTAATTCCGTTGGGTTACATCTCTCCTGTGCTCGCATGGCCATTTAATTCCGTTGGGTTACATCTCTCTTGTGCTCGCAGGACCATTTAATTCCGTTGGGTTACATCTCTCCTGTGCTCGCAGGGCCATTTCAGGGCTATTGAGAGAGAAATCAAAATTGCAATCCTGTGACATTCAGCGTTTATCCAATACCTTACGTCGAGATTATTCCACATTGCTACAACTCCATCTTGTGAGCGTGGATACAATCCCCGAGCAGACTTATTCGCGGGAGTCTGTTGGAGCATCGGAAAAACTGAGGACGTGCCCGCGCCGCCAAGAGCATACCATCCGAATGCTGCTGGTGTGTCGAAGGATTTAGCACCCCAGCCACGCACAGTGCCTCCAGGAGATTCGTCCGCTGACCGCCATGGCTACCGTCACATATATCATACCATATCTTCATCATACCATAGTACTCTTTAATGAATTTGTCATGCACATAGGCATCGCTTGAACCACCGTTGTCATTGTTGCTTGGTTTACAGCCGCTTACGCTGGAGAACGGTCGCTCTGCTTCAGGCGGCACCAACAGAACGTGCCAGTGTAAGTTCATGACAGGGTAGTAGGGCTACAGAACGGACCTGCCTTCAGGCGGCACCAACAGAAATAGCGCAGTGGTATGTCATGGCAGGCAGTAGGCACAGAACGGACAACTGCTTCAAGGCGGCACCAACAGAATAAGCGCATGTAGTCTCAATGGACAGGCAGTAGGCTACAGAACGGACACTGCTTCAGGCGGGCACCAACAGAACAGTGCAGTTGTAGTCATGGCAGGCAGTAGGCTACAGAACGGACACTGCTCAGGCGGCACCAACAGAACAGTGCAGTGTAGTCATGACAGGTAGTAGGCTACAGAACGGACACTGCTTCAGGCGGCACCAACAGAATAGCGCAGTGTAGTCATGACAGGCAGTAGGCTACAGAACGGACACTGCTTCAGGCGGCACCAACAGAACAGTGCAGTGTAGTCATGACAGGCAGTAGGCTACAGAACGGACACTCTGCAGGCGGCACCAACAGAACAGTGCAGTGTAGTCACGACAGGCAGTAGGCTACAGAACGGACACTCTGCCTCAGGCGGCACAACAGAACAGTGCAGTGTAGTCACGACAGGCAGTAGGCTACAGAACGGACACTCTGCCCCAGGCGACACCAACAGAACAGTGCAGTGTAGTCATGACAGGCAGTGGCTTCGGCCTGCTGCTGACGCGTCCTGATAATGCGGCTACATCCCTGCGTACCCCCGAAAAGCAAACATCATGACACTTGACACGTGCGCGGTTGCCCATGTTGAGAGTGTCACCGTTAGTACCGGATAAATTGTCGTTATATTGCTGGTGCATCGCAATCGCCCTCCCTTCCATGGCACATTGTGCAGCGTCCATGGCACATTGTGTCAAAAGTCTTCCAGCCAAGCGCACCCTACCAGACTTAAAATGCGAAGTGGCGTAGCTTCATTCGATCAAACATCACTCACGGCTGGCAATCTCAGACAATCCGTCCAGTGCCCAGGCGATGATGGTTACTCAGATGTCATTCACATCGGTTAATCTCATTCAGTTTGTGTATGAAAGCCTGGCTTGAGCTTGCTTCCATCTTGGCTCGTTGCCAGCGACTGACGCCTTTGCTTGCCACAGCGTATCGTCCGGTTTAGGTCCGTTTTTCGTTGCTATGGTCTACAGAGAAGTTCAAGCACTAACATATGCTCCTGGCTGGCACCCACCGCGTCGGAGACCTGCACCAGTGACCCCCAGTTGGTCTGCGAGAACAGCCTGCACTGACTCCGGTATTTGGTGCCTCCGTCCTACCGGCGAGAGGCAAAGCCAACATGGGGGCCTCTTGCTGCGGCTCATGCCCATTATGCTAACACCACTGAATGTACATAAACAAGTAAGGAAGGTTTTGAAGTTCTTTGAACCGAGCGGGAGACGTCAACGGTAAAATTAATCCTGCTGTGCGCTTTCAACATCGGTGAGTCCGAAGGACTTGTAAGATCCAGACCTCAAGTTCTGGGGGTCCCGCCATGACACCAATTGGAGAAAGAAGTTGGCGCGGCACCTGACATTCAAAAATAACCCACGGAACGAAATGGCCTACTCGCACGCAGGAAGACCAACCATTCCTTGGCCATACTTGTAAGAACAGTCCCAGTGTAAGAACAGTGTAAGAATCATACCGTCAGTACGATCACTTCCGGCACACGGCAGGTGTGCAACATGCCATGTGATTTATAGCTACTGGTGACTGGGTCCAGACAGGGAACTCATTTGCCTACATGTCACCGGCAAACTTTCGACCGGGGAGGCTTCAGCAGAGGGTGCCGGCAGTGTAGTGGTTAACGCGCCTGCGTGAACCACTGCGCGTCTGGGAAACCAGAGGTACGGGGTTCGATTCCCCGGGTACCCGCCCTTCCTTGCCAGGGTGAGAGGCGGGCTACGCCACACAGTCTCAGCAGCTGAGCACATTGTAAAGCTCCGATGACACACTCCCCAGCAGCCCAAATCATGCGTCATCAAACCTCACGCCAATGTGACCCCCCCCCCCAACACACACATACACACACACACACACACACACACACACACACACACACACCACACACACACACACACACACACACACACACACACACACGCACGCACGCACGCACGCACGCACACGCACGCACGCACACACACACACACACACACACACACACACACACACACACCACACACACACACACACACACACACACACACACACACACACACGATGCCATCTTCCCCTTCGCCCTTTCCCTGCCGCCACAAGCATCCCGAGCACTCACTCTTGTTATCCAGGCCGGCCTTGTACTTGTCGAAGCCTTTCAGCCGGACACGCTGGCCCAGCATCTCGAGAAACTCCTCGAAGGCGGGGCCGGACTCCTCGTTGTTGTACATCTCCTCCTCGGTGCTCTGGCCGGCTCGGCAGTACATGACGCCCACCTGCGGTAGATCAGGTCAGGTCAGGTCAGGTTATCGCAGACCGCGTCAGGTGAGACCACCTCAGGTCACGTCAGGTGTTCTTGGGTCGATCTGTTCTGGTCAGGTCGGGTCGGATCAGGTCTCCTGAGGACCTGACCCTGACCCAGACCTGGACATATGACCCGATGTGACCACGCCCGCCCGGTTGTGGTTCGCTCCTGGCGCACACCGCCGTCAGCCACAAAGGCTCTGACAACGTGACCACTGTTGCGACCGAGAGGGCTGAGACTGTCGCGCGTTAGCACCCTCCATCAATACCTACATACTATTGTACAGCGTTTTGGCATGAGGCAAGTTCGAGGCGGCGAAAACGATGCCATTGGCGCGTCGCCCCCGGGGGAGGGGGGGGGGGGGAGCTGGCTCCTTTCAGAGCACGCTCGCGCTGCCTCGCTGGTAGCTCACTCCGTCTGAATTGCATGCTGTGCGAGCCTCATGGCCTCACTAATGCCCGGCGTGAAGCCAAGACCAGAAGCTTTGGCATCACGTTTCGCACCCGAACAACACCACGAAACGCTGCCACTCACCGGCTATTCCGCGAGCCACTTTAAAATATGGGTACTTGTGCCTAATCCCCCGCATCGCACCCGAGTCACACAGTTAGCCTTGGGCCAGACCACAAAGGGTCCCCGTGTCCCCGCTATCCGATAGGTGGGTCTGTCGGCCCGTCCGGGGCCTGTCAACACCGCCCCGCCCGCGCGCCGTCCTAAGCAGCGTTAGCAGACGTCTCGGCCATTAGCTCGGAGGGCGGGAGCACAGCCGCTGAACGTTAATTAGCCCTCATATGGCCAGGGTACCCCACAAAAACTGCCAAGCAACGTCTGGTGTGTAACTAACGCGCAGGCAGGCCGGCCACGCCTTCCTTCATCGGCCATCTGACGTTATGTGTGCTACCCACACACGGAAACAAAAGAATAGTTTGACACCAGCGCCGAGACATTTGATGTTGATGATGGTGATAATTGGAGCTTTCGGGCGCGCCGAAAGAAATACCATTTTGAAACCGGAATGGAAACAGTCCATCTTCTGCAAAACACCCGTGTTTGCTCTCCAAGCCATCTAAGCCCAGCTTGAAGCCGCAACGCGACAGTGTATGCCAGCTAATGGCCCGCGAGCTCCGCAGATGTCCCGCACGGGTCACGTTCGCGCAGCACAACTACATACAATCAGTGTCGGACAAGCATTACAAAAACGATGCCACCGCCCTCGCTCCGAATAGGGCTGGACGATTGGCATATCGCTGGCTCCTGGCACTCGGTGTCAAGACCAGAACAGAGGGCAGCGATCGGTTGTACACACGGTCGTGCAGTGCCAGGTTCAAGTCACCGTGACATGGCGGGCTGAGCCGGCACGAGGGGCGGCCACGGATATGGAGAAGGATTTCCGCATGGTGCATTGAATGTTCTCATACGCACTCATGCATGGGACATGATGTAAGCAGCGAGAAGAAATGCATAAAGCTCGGCATGAGTGGCGGAGTCGCTGAGCGGAGATGTTTGGGGCCTCAAGGAGAGACGCCCCACCCTCCTGTAACCACCGCGGCGCTCAGTGCCAAAATAATCCGCCCACACGAAGAGCGCTACCAGGGAATGTTTTCCTCTAAACTGACAGCTGAATTTCGCCAGGCGTTGCGACCACCTGCGACTGCGCGGCTGAGACGTCAGTCAGTCCGTCCCTCGGTTTTTAACGGTCCATTCGGACAAGGCCCCATGTCGCCAACGGGGCGTGCCGCGCTTTTTGTGGGCCAACCTGCTCGGCCGGCCTGGTGACGTCTGGGTGCAGCGCTGCAAAGCAGGACCCGAGACAGTGCATCGCACAGAAGCTGAGTCACTAGACACCGGCTGCACGCCACGGACGCACCAGCGAAGACCGGTTGCGTCGTGGTCCACCTGCACGTCTTGCGGAGCGGGAACGCGACGCGACCACGGGCTGAGCCCCCCCCCCCCCCCCCAACTTTGCACCAGGTTCACATTGGTCCTGAATACTTTGACTGAAAACAAATACCCGAAAATGCTTGTCCCACTTGTGAGAGCTACTGTTGCCCTCATCACTTCACGTCAAGATTTAGCATTAATCCTCGGGTAATGCATGTGAGGGATTGCCTTTTGACAAGGGGTTCAGCGCACTCACCCATTAGGGCGTCGCCGCACATTGACGCCCACCGCGGCGCCGGCGCCGTCCGAGCCAGCGACGGAGCTGACCGCAGGGAGCGGCCGGGGAGGGGGAGGGGATGGGTGGCCGGCACGTCACCTACCTTGTACCGGGTGAAGACGTACTGCTGGTCCAGCTTCATCAGGTAGTCCTCCGTGCGCGGCTCAGCGACGGCCAGTCGGAGGCTGAAGCGGCGTCGGACGGTCAGCGGCGGACACACGGACGGGATCGCCGCTGTCGGCGGCGTGCACACACCACCCGGCTGGAGCGCTATTGAGCCGGTGACAAGGCGGCGTGCACACACCACCCGGCTGGAGGGCTATTGAGCCGGTGACAAAACGCAGGCGACAGACACCGGCCGGATGTTTGTCAGAGCTGTGGCCGCGTCTGGGCACGGCGGGTTGGCGCGGCGCAGTGACACTGCACACGTTCTCACAGACGTGCACATCGGGGCTATCACGGCATCGCAGGCACGGCGAGTGGTTTCTCGCGCGCGCGTCTTCTCTGGAGTGGCTAGATTCTTGGATAAGTTTCCTCTGCAGACGCAAAAGGAAGGCAAAGGCAACACCTTTGCTTTAAATGCCTTGAGACGCAACCCACGAGACCCGGCTGCACCGAAGTAGGCATGTTCGTCTCGAAACTCCGCGGCGTCCCCGCGAGGGACATGCCCCCACCTGTTGCGCAGATGGGGGCATGCCCCTCGGCTCCCGGCTTGGACCACGGTTCGACATGATGGGATGCCCGTGTCCTCGCGCTGGCGAGACGATGGTTCATGCAGACTGCATCGGCTAGATTGGGCCGAGAACGACCGCGGGTCGCACTCGCACTAGGATCCTGCTAGGATCCGCCCTGCTATGATGCATGCCCGGGCGCGTTACTAGGATATATCCTTCGTACAGCCTTTCCCTCGTCTTTCCTTAGTTTTCTCGGTTGTACTTCTAAAAAGATAATGCAAAACTAGTGAAGTTCGCTCGCTAGACACACTCCCACTGCTCAGCGCTAGTTGCACGGCATGTGAGGCTAGGACAGTGGATGTGTCGTGTACGGAGTCCACCAGGACGTGCTGATCAGCTAGTTGGCCGGGTGAGGCTATTCACCGGACCGCCGCTGGTCCTCCGGGGCCGGTGTCGCACACCCACGCCTCAGATGGGGGGGGGGGGGGGGGGAGTGAGAGTGCCATCCGCTTTCTGCGCCCGCACACTGAGCTACCATTGTGGCCGACAGCTAGAGCGTGACTGGGCGCCAGAACTTTCACGCCAGACGGCATGTTGTCCTTTTCGACTGTGCACACCTGGTGAGGCAGACGAGCCCAGATAGCGGCCAGTCCTGCCGGGCGACGCCCGCCAGCATGAGAGCTCTCGGTATCGCTGTGCTTTTATCGACTCCTGCAGCTGCCATGTACGTGAACTGCCGTGGAACCACTTCAATCCGTTCAGGGAGGCATGTTGGGATCGAAAGGCCGGCGAGCCCGCGAGCGGCGAGCGGCGAGATCATAATACCTGTAAGCCGTAGAAACTGACTGCAGTCTGAATACCTTGATTTCCCTCCGCACCAGATCCCCGGATCTCCTGCTCAGGAGCCGCACTAGATCCCCAGATCTTCCGCTCAAGAGATCTGGTGCGCGCCCGCCTGATCAGACCAAAACTGGTCCAAACGGAAGCAATCGGAGTGAAAGGTCGTAGCCCAGCGCCGGAGACCGCTGGGACCCCTCAGTTGCGTCGACCCGGGCTTGGCTGCGGCCGGCGGCGGCCGCGGGTCACGCGCCCCGACCGCGGATGCTATCGGGTCATGCTCTGTTTGCCGACGGGAGGCGCAGAGGGAGCCGCACCACCACCGGCGGCTGGAACGGCAGATCGGGACAGCTTACAGCGGACAGGCCGCGGGATAACGTAAGCACTGGGTCTGTGGGAGTGCCGACCGGTGGACCTGCTCCCGAAGAAGTCGACCTTACGGGCTGGCAGAGTAAGCATCAGCCTTTTGAGAATAGGAGCATGGATACCAAGGCGTTAAGTAGTTCTGCGGAAGAAATGGTATCACGGTCCAAAACAGCAGTCAGAAAGCGTATTTGAACATTTGCACTTATTTTGCCGGGAATGAGAAGGCTGCAAACGTGAAGCGTAAAACTGCGAAAGTGTGAAGGAACTTTGCTTGTTTGTGCTGAAGCCCTGACGCCACACCGAGTCGCAGCCGTGATGTGAGATGAACCAGCGATCCAGCGGGACTGTGGGGAGCTTCATCAGTGACACTCACAAACAGACATGGGGAAAGGACAAAAGTTCTGATGAAACCGGTTTGAAAATTCGGTGATCATGACGACATGTGATGGGGCGGAGGAAGACACTGGGGAGAAACACAGTCCGTCAGTGACGCCTGCTGCGAGATGCTCGGATCAGTCCCCGACCCGGCGACGCCGTCCGTCGGCTGACGTCACCGGTGACGGCATCGCGAGAAAGCGCCCAACACGTCACCCGCGCCTCGATGACGTCACTACGCGGCATGAGGGGCAGTGCGCGCCTCAAAGTGCGCGGAGGCGAGACCCGTTCCAGTTGTCGGTCGCAGCTGCGGCAACCAGCGACCGCAGGGGAGGGAGACAGCTCATCACGTGGCCAGGGGAGAGAGACCGCAGGGGAGAGAGACAGCTGATCACGCTGCCGGGGGAGAGGGACCGTAGGGGAGAGAGACAGTTCATTATGTGGCCGGGGGAGAGAGACCGCAGGGGAGAGAGACAGCTCATCACGTGGCCAGGGGAGAGAGACCAGCAGGGGAGAGAGACAGCTCATCACGCGGCCGGGGGAGAGAGACCGTAGGGGAGAGAGACAGCTCATTATGTGGCCAGGGGAGAGAGACCGCAGGGGAGAGAGACAGCTCATGACGGGGCCGGCCCGACCGAGCAGGATGTGTTGATTAGACAGTATCTAATAATAGCCCGGGGTCTGCCCCGCCGCGTCCAAGATCGACACATCGACACACCGCTTGACCTGATCGATGACCGCCGCAGCGACGCCGCGTCCGACAGTCTAACCGCTCGCCGCCGACCCGGATAGGACGTTCCGACAGCGCCCCCCCCCCCCCCCCCCCCCCCCGCGCCGGCCGGCGCCCGATCATCGACCGCGCCCGCCCACACAGCCCCTCCCCCCGGCGGCGGCGGAGCGGCGGACCGACTTGTGAATGGAGCGCCGTACAGGCCGGTCGATAACGCCGGCGCCCCGGGGCATGAATGGCCGACCACGCCGTCTGGCCACCGCCGCCGCCGCCGCGGCTCCGAGCCAATCAAAACACTGGCCGCCCACCGGCCGCCAGCAGCTACTGCGCCGCACAGGACGGACTCATGCAACCGGAAGCGCTCGTTCAGCTCAGCTGGGTGAGGATGGTGCGACTGATGGCGGCAATCGCAGAAGCGGCATTATGTCACGCTCTCGATATGCGTGGGCTATGGAAGCGCACTTTTTACCGGCATTGCCGGCCCAGCCCTTCAGCAAAGCAGGCTTAGCGTCTGTGCTGCCATCTACGAGACGCCAGCTGATGGATTTATTTCGGGAGGGCCGACGGTCGGTCCGCTATCCGCAGTGCGCAGCTGAGATGTAATAACGCTCGTTGGCTGAAAGCGCCGGAACGTTTTTAGAAGTTCGTTAGAGTCCGTTCAATTTGAGTCTTTGCCCAGTTTACTCATAGCCCTGTTACACATCTCACATTTATGTTTACGTGACCGGAGAAAAGGAAATGCTGGTCTGTAGGCACTGAATGCACCGCGAAAGCCTGAACTAAGGCCGGCGACAACCCAAAACTACCAAAACTACCCTCGACCGGTGTTCCATCCCTCTGATCCACCTAAACCGGTGCTAGAACGGTGCCGGCGCCAGCTCTTTTCGAAACTCTTGCACCTCTTGCTCACCCAGAGGTCCGGTGGGATCACCGGACCGTACGCAGCTTCACGAGCGCAGAGCAGCCGAAGCAGCGCAGCATCCCAGCCCGACCCGGTGTCACGCCGAATCGGGGGATCGCCTGCCCCCTGACCCGAACACCGCAGGCCTGGTACTGGCCCTGGCGTGGCCCGACGCTGTGACGAGCACCACAGGTCTGGTATTGGCCCTGGCGTGGCCCGACACTGTGACGAGCACCGCGGGTCTGGTACTGGCCCTGGCGTGGCCCGACGCTGTGACGAGCACCACAGGCCTGGTACTGGCCCTGGCGTGGCCCGACGCTGTGACGAGCACCACAGGTCTGGTACTGGCCCTGGCGTGGCCCGACGCTGTGACGAGCACCACAGGTCTGGTACTGGCCCTGGCGTGGCCCGACGCTGTGACGGGCGGGTCGCACGAAAAGCCTCGCGCCAGATACGGCGCACCCGAGCTCACCATCGGCCGCCCGCCCCGAGTGTCGACCCGATCGGCCGGCGCTCGTGGAAGACGCGGCGTCGGGCGCTCGAGGGGAAGCTGTCAGCGTGGGGTTACCTGCATGGGCGGCCCCTGCCCTACATGGTCTGGGGTGCATGGAAGCCGCCACGTCAGGCTGGGGCCAGCCATTGTACTGTCGCTCTTTTTACAACGAGGTGGTCCGGTCACTAGCCATGACACCAAGTCAGCGGCCTGGTCCAGGCTGGTCCGCTGGGTTTGGTCTGACGGCTCAGACGAGCCCACTCGCGCGCTGCCTTCACGCGCCCTTTGCCAGGAGATGGCACTAGAACCACCTGCCGTCCAGCCGGACGGCCACGCCCTCAGGTGGGATCTGCGGTGGTGAGCCTTTGTGGGAGATCAGCAGCCAGCCCGCAGAGCTGGACCTCTGACTCGTAAGGCCACAGACGCTCCGTCATGACTATTGTGAGGCGAGGTTATTACTATTAGCCCGACCACTACGACAGGGTCCTGATTATTGGCCGCACCGCAGCGCCCCCTCCTTTGCGTGCTCATTTCTCCCCTGAGGATGGATCGAACAGCGATTTTCCCAACACAAAACAAAATACTTATGCGCATGCTTGCGTCTTATCGTGAATAGAATCATTTAAGCGGCTGATAGGTCCTGAAAAGAACTTTTACACAGCGACTGCATTCGAGCGCCATAAATAAAATCACATAACTGAACTCTACGCATCTCGCTCGTCCGTAAAGTCTCGATTTCAATGAGGACACTGTCCCTTTTTGGCTGTTATAACCGTTAATTTTGACTCAGTGCGTTTAGTGCATGGCAATGCACATGGTAACATTTCCTTCCAGACAACACGTACCTGTTGGTGCCGTCTGGACGGCTGTCTTTCTTGACTCAGACATGATTTGACCATATCGCGATCCCCCCCCCTCAAGAGATTCACCCTCCAGAGGATTTCGTCGTCCCTTGGTGGAAATTCTCTCTGATATGGGGACGCCTGGTCTGTATTTTCCTCAGCACACCACGCCGAGCCAGCTATATCAATGAGCATAGTTTGGTGAACAGCTATCGTTCAATTAACACACTCGTTCGCCCGCCGCTACATCGCCCACTGAGTCGTTCGCTGAAATCAGTGACGGACTTCCTGCCTTTCACCGACCGCAGCACTCCTCCCCGACATCTCCATCGCATCGGCCCCGCCCCTGCGCGGGCCAATCACCCCCCTCTGAGCGTAATACCGGGCGAGGATGGCCCGTGGGGCCGGCGCCTCACAATGCACGGAATGTCGCCCTCAAGGCCGCCCGGCGGCCGCAGTCGGCCGATCCGGCGGCTGTCGGCCGCGGCCGCAGACGGGCTGGAGACGACCGACTCCAGGGGCGGCCCCTGGGCGCGCCGCGAGGCCGCCCGGCGGCCACCACCGGGGGAGGCGCCCGGGCGATCACCACGGGGGAGGCGCCCGGGCGACCACCACGGGGGAGGCGCCCGGGCGACCACCACCGGGGAGGCGCCCGGGCGGCCACCACCGAGGAGGCGCCCGGGCGACCACCACGGGGGAGGCGCCCGGGCGTCCACCATCGGGGAGGCGCCCGGGCGACCACCACCGGGGAGGCGCCCGGCGGCCACCGCCGGGGAGGCGCCCGGGCGACCACCACCGGGGAGGCGCCCGGGCGACCACCACGGGGGAGGCGCCCGGGCGGCCACCATCGGGGAGGTGCACGGCCACATGCACGGCCACCGCGCCGTGCATCGGGGAGGCGCCCGGGCGCCCTACAAGGGAGGCGCACGGGCGCCCCACGAGAGAGGCGCGCCGAAGCGCTAGATCGGACGCATGCGGCTCTGACGGTGTGTGCTAATGACGTATGCCACGGTATTTCTACAGCGATCGTACTGCCGCTCACGCGATACTCCAATCCAATAAACACAACACAGCAAACGCACTATGTCATGCATTGCGGACCAAAAATGCCCCAGAGATGACGCATGCATAGGCGCCAAAAACACTGTTGAGCGTCGTTGCCATCCAGTGGTTAGCTTCAAGTTCATAACTAAACGCTAGTCCCACCCAGCTTAGCCCTGACCGGGCGATGGACTGAATGTCCAATCCCACCAAAAGTCGTCTCAAGTGCGGATTAAAGGTCATCGATATCATGTATCCAGTTTGCAGACCGGATGCTGCGGATCGGAAGCCGTAAAAGAAAACCACCGCAGCGAAGCGCTCTGGCCAATCCCCTGCACAACAGCTCTGGGCGGATTGTGCTGTGTCGGGTATGTGAGAAAGTTCGGGTCCGTGCCCGATGACGTCATCGCGGTTGGCGCGGTGACAAGGCTCCCAGGACCGGCAGACTGGCTCCCAGGACCGGCAGACTGGCTCCCAGGACCGGCAGACCGAACCCCAGGACCGGTAGACTGGCTCCCAGGACCGGCAGACTGGCTCCCAGGACCGGCAGACCGAATCCCAGGACCGGCAGACTGGCTCCCAGGACCGGCAGACTGGCTCCCCGTGTCGTTGTCAGCCGCTCGGGACTGTCCAGGATGGCACAGAACTCGGTGGCGAACAGGCTGGCTAACCGACAGCCACTTGGGGAGGGGAGGCGCTGAACGTCTGGAGGACTCTGGGGGAGCGCTGAGCGTCTAGAGGACGCTGGGGGTCGCTGAGCGTCTGGAGGACGCTGGGGGGGGGGAGGGGCGCTAAACGTCTGGAGGACTCTGGGGGAGCTGAACGCCTGGAGGACGCTGGGGAGGGGGCGCTGGGCGTCTGAAGGACACTGGGGGAGGGGCGCTGAGCGTCTGGAGGACGCTGGGGGGGGGGGGGCTGAACGTCTGGAGGACGCTGGGGGGAGCCGAACGCCTGGAGGACGCTGGGGAGGGGGCGCTGGGCGTCTGAAGGACACTGGGGGAGGGGCGCTGAGCGTCTGGAGGACGCTGGGTCGTGCTAGCTAGCCGATCACTGGGCTAATGCGCAGCCAATCGACGTGAGCCGTGATGTCATCCGACTAATCCCTCTCAAACATGTGAGGAGCACACGGCGTGGTCGACTCAGCTAATCCAGTATGGGGAAGGGGAGGGGTAAGTTGACATGTTTCTCCCCGTGAAAGCCTATGCAGCAAGGGTGATTGTTGTAAAACCATGAAAGTGGACGAATGATTTCATCTCGAAAATAATATCGTTACTGACAGTGCCAAATGCCGCCATCGGCACGATTTCAACGTTATAATAGCGATCTGATATTTCAATTTCAAGATACCTCCCGTGGCAACGTACCAGCACTCATGATCTGGGGTTTAATGGTCCCCACCGATGGGTTAATGGCGGCCACAAATGAGTCCATTTCGACAGAACCGTGAGGCCAGATGCGCACTCACAACGTAATAAACAACAGCTAGAACTCACACTATGCTAGATGTCTGACGAGTTGACTGAAACCGGCGGAATTCTCTGCACGACACTGGGTACACCTTTCAGTGAACTGTCGCCAACCCAACGCCAATGAGCGCCCCTGAAGCCGGTGAAGCATCAGAATTGTCAGTCCTCCGAGGCGAGAGCGGGGTTATGCTGCGACTGGCGCCGCGTCGGTTGCTGGCGAAGCTTCTCCGCGGGGGGAGGGGGAGGGGGACGCCGCAGCACCGCCGCCCCGCAGCTCCGGCACTCACCAGGCGGGCTGCAGCTCGGGCGCCACGTGGTCCAGGATCTCCCTCACCGGCAGCCGCTTGGTCTTCTCGGCCGGCTTCACCAGGTGGCACAGCGACTCCTCCAGGATCAGGCCACGCACCGTCGGCAGCTGCCGGCACGTCGGGCGAGCGGTGAACACACGCTCACTGATGCACGAACACACTGCTGTGGCCACGCAGGCTGCGAAGACGTGTACACTGAAGCACGCATGTCACAGACACTGTGTAAGCAGCCGCTGGCTTTGTAGTCGCCCAGTGAGGACGTGCACAATTGCGCATAGCCGTGAAGTAGCCATGCGTGTAGAACTGCCGGATTGCAAAACGCAGTGTGCTCGACGACTCTGGGAATCTGATGGGGATGCTTGGATAGTTTCTCAGGAAGCACAACAGATCTCCCACGGCCTACGCGCGTAAGGAGCCGGGATTACACAGAACCTGAACAACGCGCGTTAAGACTGCATCGGTTTTCAATCGACTTCAGTGCTTACAAATGTCTCGGTCTGGCGAGTGGCAAAACGAGCGCGCGGAACTTACAAGTCATGCCACAGCGCTCAAGGCCACCGCCTCCAGACCCTTAATCCTCAGCCCCTTCCCCCCCCCCCCCCCCCCAGCTGAGCCACGCGCCGGGCCCTCCGACGCCGGCCGTTGGCGACGGCCGTCTCGGTCCGCCTGCAGAGTGACCGGTGTCGATTTCACAGCCCGCGGGCGGCCTGAGCGGCGGCCGGCGCCGTTCGGCCCGGCGCGCCACGCGACCGTTCCCCGGCCGGCTCCAGTGCCCGGCCGCGTGTGCGGTGCTGTCACGAGCGGCGAGGTCCGAGCGGCGTGGCGGAAGACAGCGGTACCGGTGTGAGAGCGCGAGCGCGCCTTTGTCGACGCTCACGCCGGGCCATCTCGTGGCGCCGGTAATCGCTGCCGCTGGGCGGCCGCCGGAGCGCCGCCAGGACAAAGCGGCGATGGTCGGCTCCCCTCGCCGGCCGGCCAGGCGGGCCAATGAACTGAACTGTGCAGCGCGTACCGGCACTGTGCAGCGAGCCGGGATATGGCCACCCGGAGCTGGGTGACGGCGGACGCTCGGCGGAGGGGGGGACGGGGGTCGGAGGCACGTTGCGAAGGGAAGCGGGGCTCGGGGATACGCGACGGAGGGGGGAGCGGGGTTCGGAGGCAAGCGGCGGAGGGGAGCGGGGCTCGGAGGCACGCGGCTGGAGGGGAGCGGGGTTCGGAGGCACGCAGCGGAGGAAAGCGGGGCTCGGAGGCACGCAGCGGAGAGGAGCGGGGCTCGGAGGCACTCGGTGGAGGAGAGCGGGGCTCGGAGGCACGCGGCGGAGGGGAGCGGATCAGGCCGTGCTAAGAACGTGCACGGGACACGTGGAGGTCACCTCGTGATCACAGTACGTGATGACGGTGGAAGGCGCATGACAGGACGAAGAGGGAATGACACGAAATGGTCTTTTCAAACTTTGAAGCATTAGTGGTCGGCAAATTATGGAAGAACGGGGGACATGAGATGTTAATGCAAACGGCCATAGAGGTGAAGGTGATAAACAAAAGATGTGGCGGGTTTAACGCAAAGCATTATCGCGAAAATATGGCCTATGCCCAGCTGTGGAAACCGACCGAAACTGAGACCAAGACGCGGCTTCATAGAAATGACAAGGTGTAGATAGGTGAAGGAGAGGGTAAATGGATTAGAGGGGTGGGGAGAGGTAGGAATAAGAAAGAGCGCCAAACGCACAACAACAAGAAACAAGAGCGAGAACGGGAATGAGGATACGATAAGAGTAAATGAGAGAGAAAATGACGGACAAAACGAAAAAAGGGAGGACGGGAGGAAAGCGAAAAGGAAGGATATAAGCAACACAGGTCGGGAGAGAGAGAGGGGGAGGGGAGGCGCTATAGGTGTGGGAGCGGGAAGGTGCCAGAGACACGGAGCGGAAGCGTCGACTGGCGCGGCTCGGTCAGCCTGCCACAGAAGGCCGGTGCTGGGGCTGGGCGCCGCCCGGCTGACCCCTGGCCGGCTGGGAACGCGGCCAGCCCTGACGGTCGGCACCGCACGGGCACAATGGACCATTATCAAGCACGCCGTCGTCTCATAATGGGTCATTGTGGCGGCAGCCGGCGGCAGATCGTGGAGGTCGCGATCGCCCTGCGCCTAGCGTCGAATGACACCCGATCTCTAGTGCGCCACCCATTGTCTTCCACCGCTCATGTCCGAGTCGGAGTCGCGATCGGGTCGGAGTAGGAGTCAGCCGCCATCCACCTCTGCCGTTAGCCGGCCCGTGCGCCGCTCTTCGCGGTGTGAAGGAGGGCGGGACGTGAGCGTCGGCGGTGCGGAGGAGGAGTACCGGGCCTGGTCGGCCGGGTCCGAATGTCCCGAGTCGAGAGGAGACGACGACGGCGCGCGACCATCACACGGCACAACACTGTGCGACCGACGGACGACCGACACCAGCTGGACGGCGGCACCTCCGGTGGCGGCAGCAGGCGCGAGGCATGCGAACGGTAGCAGGACCAGCGCCAGGTGTGCGCCGGTCCGCCGCCCGGCCGAAAGTTCGGCCGGCGGAGCTGGGAGCGGCGCCGACAGACCGGCCGGCGGAGCTGGCAGCGGCGCTGGCAGACCGGCCGGCGGAGCTGGGAGGCCGGCCGGCGGAACTGGCAGCGGCGCTGGCAGACCGGCCGGCGGAGCTGGCAGCGGCGCCGGCAGACCGGCCGGCGGAGCTGGGAGGGGCCGGCCGGCGGAACTGGCAGCGGCGCTGGCAGAACCGGTCGGCGGAGCCGGGAGGCCGGCCGGCGGAGCTGGCAGCGGCGCCGGCAGACCGGCCGGCGGAGCTGGCAGCGGCGCCGGCAGACCGGCCGGCGGGGCTGGGAGGCCGGCCGGCGGAGCTGGCAGCGGCGCCGGCAGACCGGCCGGCGGAGCTGGCAGCGGCGCCGGGCAGACCGGCCGGCGGAGCTGGCAGCGGCGCTGGCAGACCGGCCGGCGGAGCCTGGGAGGCCGGCCGGCGGAGCTGGGAGGCCGGCCGGCGGAGCTGGAGGCGGCGCCGGCAGACCGGCCGGCGGAGCTGGCAGCGGCGCTGGCAGACCGGCCGGCGGAGCTGGCAGCGGCGCCGCCAAACGCGCCCGGCCAGCTGGAGTGAGCAGCGTTCGCTGCAGGCACGGAAACGGCGTCGCCTCGCAATCGCGCCGCCTGGCGTCACGCGGGTCATAAAGCGATGACTGTTTAGAGCCCCGCCAATTAGCAGCTGTTGTTAACGCCAGCGCAGGGCCAAGCAAATGTTCATGAGTGACGTGCGGGACGTCGCTTCACACTGGGGCCGGAGGAGCCCAGCTGTCAGCTCCGAGCTGTCCACCCAATCCCTTTCCTGTGTCCCGCATGGCGAAAAGGGTTTTGGGTGTGGGATTGTGAGGATTCAAGGCCATCTTTTACACACAGGCGCAATTTTTCACGGACGTCTCCACCATGAGGCTCTTCGCGTCGAAAGCCAATGTTAATGCAGCCGCATCCTGTAGAGAAACTCAAGGCGCATTTTGAATGGACAAGACAAGAATGGACTTTAGTAGCCTGCAGCATGCTAATCGCAGGAGTTGTCTAGCGCGGGCCGGATTGAAGTCCGATACAGTCAGAACTACATTATTTTCCACCCACACGCTTCACATTAAAGCTCTCACCTAGATTGGGGGTAATCCCTTATTATGGGCGCAGCACTATCAGTCTGGAGATGCTAAAAGTTCACAAGGCCCATTGTTGCTAATACACAACGTCCAGAACGCCCATTGTTACCAACTAAACTGGTCCAAGGACGGCCAGAAAAGAGCGAGGTATTTGTTTCTATCTACGAGGGTGAACGCAACACGCAACTCACTCTGATCGCAATCTGTAAAGAGCCATTTAAGGGTCTGGGACGGTCCAACATGCAGCTGATGCAGTCAGGACGAGGTGACTGGGCTTGAGATGAATGGTACGTGACAGGCCACGACCAGATGCCCAAGAGCGCACTCTCAGGCGACGGAATACACGTCTGGTTGCCACCGATGCCGAAGGCGGAAGGGCCGCCATCACAGATCTGTCCATCCGCCACAGCCCCCGCAGTATCATCAGGCCATCCAGCCAGAGGCCGGGGCGGCCCGGACCCCTGCCGCCTACTGTCGATATCGATACAGGTGTAGAGCAGGGGATATCTACGACATGACCGGGGCAGGCTCAGGGTCGGCCCCCTATCGATACAGGTGTAGAGCAGGGGATATCTACGACATGACCGGGGCAGGCTCAGGGTCGGCCCCCTATCGATACAGGTGTAGAGCAGGGGATATCTACGACATGACCGGGGCAGGCTCAAGGTCGGCCCCCTATCGATACAGGTGTAGAGCAGGGGATATCTACGACATGACCGGGGCAGGCTCAGGGTCGGCCCGCCGCCCCGTTGCGTCACCGACAAACGCCGGTCTTCACACGCCACTCTGGAGGCGGCCGGCCTGGAAACAAAGGCGAGGTCAGGGACACCGACCGGAATATCCGTCACGTGAAGTGATGCGGGCATCAGAGTGCCGTCAGGGACACCGACCGGAATCCGTCACGTGAAGTGATGCGGGCATCAGAGTGCCGCCCACTGTATGAGACGACCGAGTGTGGCGTTCACACCCGCTGGAAGGTGCACAGCGTCAACCCCGCCGGCCCGCTGCACTGCCACAGAAGACCCACACGCCGGCGGGTCCTGCCGAACACCGTGGCAGAGGACCGTGCCCGTCTGCGAATCCCATCTTCAGCAGACAGCAGCCGAGGACGGCGGCCAGACACTGCAGCAGCAGCATTTGCTGGCCTCCAGCTCCGGCGGTCGAATCGGTCAGTTCCCGCCCATTGTCAGAGGCGAAGGAAAACATCACCGCTGGAGATGTAGCGACGATACAGGGGGCTGTTGTTTTCGCCCTATTGTTCCAGGACAACTCATTTCCGCTGTTTGACCTTCACGAATGTGTAACAAACTGCTACGGCGGCGGTGGGAGGGCGGCCGCGTAGAAGAAAGGTCCCCAGTTTCAATCTCACCAACATAACTTGCGCAGAGATAAGTCATGTGTGTCGTCAACGTTGACTGTCACCAGATTTAAGCACAGGCAGCAGCGGCGAAGAAAAATAAGCAACTTAGTCAGCGCCATCAGTGCCACCAGTGTACCGGGAAGGCAGCGAGGCGTGATATCAAGCCAGCCGCGCACGAGACACAACAGAGTACCTCTCCTCGCGTCAATGTTTACATTGCACAATCAGGGAAGCAGCCAACAGGCCACACCGCCCACGGATCATTAAATAAGTTTGTGGCATTCGCGGCACTGATGACGTACATGTGTGCCGTCATCAGGGAGATACGGAGCGCGTGGCCTCACGATGATGCCCCATGTGGCCCCACAGACTCGGTAATTGTCTGACGATGGTCACCACCAGACATGATACTCAGCTAACTCAGTGGACCTGGTCATGATGCCGCGTCTCATTCCGCTAGGCTATAATTGGTGATGCATCCTGGATTCAGACACATCGCCAATCTCACCTTCCTGGATATGGTAATGATGACGACGAGGAGGCGTCTTTTGATTGGCTATGCCTTCGGGTGATGCAAAACCACACGCATTCCCTCACTTGATCGGATGGCAACTCGCGTGCCATTTCGCTGGGCCTGATGATCACTTATTTCACCCCACTGACTGAACGACACTACATCTCACCGTCGAAGAGCGTGTATCTCACCTGCCGGACCTGGCGACGCCTTACACCTCGCTGCAATAGCCCGGTGACGCCCCTGTGCCTCACCTCGCTGGAGCGGATGATGATGCGGTAGCAGGGGTGCGCGGACTGCTGCCGGTCGGGCCCGTCGCCGCCCGGGCCAGCCTCCAGGCGGTCCCGACGAACACTGACGGCCACCGGCCCCAAGCTCTCGTCCGTCCCCACCCAGTTCTCGTGCTCTGTGGACACACGATACCACGGGTCAGATCCGGCCCCAAGCTCTCGTCCGTCCCCACCCAGTTCTCGTGCTCTGTGGACACACGATACCACGGGTCAGATCCGGCCCCAAGCTCTCGTCCGTCCCCACCCAGTTCTCGTGCTCTGCGGACACACGATACCACGGGTCAGACCCGGCCCCAAGCTCTCGTCCGTCCCCACCCAGTTCTCGTGCTCTGTGGACACACGATACCACGGGTCAGATCCGGCCCCAAGCTCTCGTCCGTCCCCACCCAGTTCTCGTGCTCTGCGGACACACGATACCACAGGTCAGATCCGGCCCCAAGCTCTCGTCCGTCCCCACCCAGTTCTCGTGCTCTGCGGACACACGATAGCACGGGTCAGATCCGGCCCCAAGCTCTCGTCCGTCCCCACCCAGTTCTCGTGCTCTGCGGACACACGATACCACGGGGACAGATGTGTGTCCGCACCTCAGGAACGGCGCGCAGGATGTCGGATCCGGTCACAGCGGGACAAGGTGGAATCCGGGGTCCAGTCACCGAAGGACTGGGTGGGATCCGACATCCAGGCGCGGAATCCAGGCGAGTGTTTGGACGCAGCGGGTCATCGACGGCGGGCTATAGGGGACACAGAGTTGTTGAGATTCACAACGTGTTTACGATCGCGTAGACCATCCCCAATGGACCGGGCGCTGACGTCAGCAGCTCATCATCGAGCGCCCCGTGCGCTGACCACATCAAATCTACCTCAAGAAGAACGGGGTGCGTGCGGTGACGCGCACAACAGTTAAGAGCAACGTCAGGACTCATCAGCAGTGACTAGGAAAACATAGGCGCATTGTTTGTACCATTAAAGGCACTGGACCTACTTGCCGAAATATTTTGTATTTAGTTTGGTGCAAAAAGGCGATCAAAACTATCTTGCTTCGTTTGTTTAGATAGTCCGCAAAAGTTCTGTGAAATTTTGACATCAGCGCCGGCCCATTCGCAGGCCACAGCCCCCTGGAAGTTTTTCACTATCGCAGCGGCGGTGATATGGCCAGAGATGATGTTTCCGGCGTTTGTAATTTTTGGGGACTGAAAAACCACTCCATGGCTTCAGAACCGTCTTCTCGTGCAGATTCAGAAAGCCTCTTTGGTGGGCTCAATCTCTCACATGACATCATGCATGTTCGTTTCCGCTGAAGCGGCCTTCCAATCGTCACAGCCCGCAGCCCCTACTGACATTACTAGAAAAACATCGGCACTGATAGCACAAATAAACCCTGCTGTCCCACAGCGACATCGCAGGGCAACGGCGGCAGCGCAAGTAAGTGATGGCCTATCCGGGTCCTCTTGACAAGGGTCCACTCATCACTCCCCGCCTAGTGCGGGCCCATTCATCAACAGGGCTGCACGTCGGGGGCTGACGTTCTCACCGTGCTGCAACCTCCGCAGGAGGCGTGCCTTCAGCACCAGCACCAGCGCCAGACGTTGTCACCACCTCCCGTTCGCAAGGTGCGATTACAACGCGAGCCAACAACCAGTCAGCGCCGAGTGGCCAGCGGACGGCAAAGAACGGCAGCGGCGGTGGCAATGTGTCACACAGCCAGCTCTCGCTGGGCCGGGTGCCGACAGGCTGCCGACGAGCCATCACCACTTGCCACGCTCGCTGTTGTGGCCTGGCTACCAGCAGGCCGCCCGAGAAACTGGCACGTGCCCTGCCTGACCTCTTCATGCGCCGCGCGCGCGCCACCCACGACGAGACGAGCGAGGCCGGGGTGAGCGACGCCCAGGGGTCACGCAGACGCCGCGGGGTTCACAGGGGTCAGCCACGGAGACGCGCGGGCACTACTCCGGCGTTGTGTGCAGCTAATGACCTGTGTCTCTAATGAATGGTGAAGAGTGCAGCAGCACCGCCGCTGGCTCGGGGCCGCGTTAAACATGGGGACCGCGGCACGGCGGCGCATTCAGGGCGGTTTCTGGAGCAATGGGAGACCGCTATCGCCTCTTAAAACCGCTGCCGTTTATGACCTGTTTTGCAACGATGATATAGCTCGGCAGGGCCCTGTCGCAATGGGAAGCCAATTAGGCGGACAAAAAGTACTTCAATCACGCTCTGAGGGTGAGAATAGATGCATTCGGCCTGATTTTGCAGGTACGCGTGTATCAGCCCGCTGTCCTGTACAGCACGTTCTTTATCTTTATCACGAATCTTTAGCTCGAGAACCATGTACGAAGAGTTCGGCAAATTCCGGATCACCAGGCTCAACAACCACATCGGGATGTATCTAGCACCAGGCGTACTCAGTCTCGTTTTAACCTTTTTGCATTCGTGTGACCTCTTTAGTTTTGGGTTTCCAGCTTGATGGATCGTGACCAGTTTCATTTTAAAAAGCCCATCGGGCGTCTTATGCTGCAAACACCAATGACGCCTTCTGCCTAAGGTGGACCCACGCCGTCTCGGGGGGGAAGAGTCTCCAGAGGCTTCCTCTCGCTGGGGGGAGCTGGGGGGAGCAGGACACCAGCCCTTCCGCCGGCACGAACGGTCGACACGTGACCAAGACGGCAGGGGAGTCTGGAAGCTCAGCCCAGTTGGCAAACTGGGCTGAACTAGGGCATCACTTCGCCTCAGATGCTGACGCTTGGTACCTGTCGGCCGGCAGCACCAAGTACCCAGTGCTGCGTAGACCAGCCGCCGCCGCCAGGGGTCAGGATGGTCGGCCTGTTTACCCGCCTCGGATGAGTCACGGCTCCCGCACGTCACATCCGGCGGGTCCGCGTGCGTGACGAATTGTGCGTGAGCCGCGCTGGATAGGCCGGGCATGTGACACCCAGTGGGAGGGAGGGGACACCAGGCCGCTGGGACCAGCTGCGCCGCGAGGCGCGGCACATTGTCCGACCGGAATAAAGGGCGTGGCATGTCGAGGATTAATGAAGGACCAGCCGGATCAAAGAGCCGCCGCCGCGTAAGACGGTTTGGCGCCCGGGGCCGCCGGGCGTCGGGGTCCGGATGAACTGGTCGGCGATGTCCGGAATGCAGCCATGCAGCCCCGCAAAGAATTGGGCTTTTAGCGGTGCAGGTTTGAACGTGCACGTCGCGCATGTCGAGAATGTCTGGCCGACCAGGGCTCCTTTGGCGGTGCTCGCTGCCCGCGAGGTGGAAAGTGTTCCACTACTCATGGCTATAGAAACATCTGCCATCGAAGAGGTAATGAGCCCGATGCTGAACTAAAACACATCGCGCGAAATCTGACCTCCGCGCCGTCAGGTTCCGACCGACGTATGATTTGATCATGAGAGTTGCTCCATCGATCAAGCGATCCACAGCCGGTAGAAAAAGCGAGGCATGACTCGTTCGTCAACCCCGATTCTCGGGCTGTCTCACAATAAGTCAGCCCCTGATGGCGTCCAAGAACTCACAAGAGCTTTGGCAGGCTGTACACCGTAGCGCTCCGTGTGTGGGTGACCGACAGGCACTGTCACGTTTGAAATGTGTAGCTCTCGACGACGAGAAAGGCCAACACCCGAGCCCGTGGCCTGCGGCGTCACCGTCGCCCAAGTTCTGGCGAAGCCTCCCCGCCTGACAACGAGAGACACTGCCAATCCCCGATGAGGGCCGCTCACGTTAAGCAGCGACTCACTGCGTCCAAAAGGACCAGCTCTGTGGCATGCAGCAGCGCGTGCGACTCTGCCCTGGAAGAGGGAGGAGCGTGTGGCACAAGATGTCAGCGAGGATCTCTGGTGCTAGTGCTGGGCCGAGGGGCAGCCAATGATAGCCAATTGTGTCATTCCCCCCGTGTCCCCCCTTAAACACGTCGTATGACATTGTAACGCCCTCTAATTGAACCACGTAGCCTTTTGCAAGCTGGTCTGTCTAGACAGCTCAATCCAGCACGTGCCAGTCTCATCCAACATGCGTGTTGAGAGGGACAAGGGGACACGAATTTGCCAGACGGTGTAGAAGCATGTCAACACATTGCCTGCCACCCTGTGAAAAAGTAACGTTGGCCTGCCATCTTAGTTGGAAATAATTAGAATTTCGGGTAGCGATGGCTGCCACTGCGCTGGCCCCCATGTCCCAATGGTCCCGCAGAAGTTCATGAATATGTTTTGTGTCGGCAATGACGCAGCATGCTCCTAACTTGCATTCAATGTTACTTGAACATGTCTGTCGATTATGAAGTACCTGTAATAACATGGTTTACAACAACTGCGGCGTTGATTGGGATATCCAGGTTAATGTGTATAGCACGGTAAACAGTTTGCATCAGTGGGGACGCCGTATAAGTTTACCTTGCCAACATCAGCGGTCGACCTCACTTTAACCGGCTGTCCGTTTCAAGCCGGCCAGCGGCGACATGGCTTTGTAACGACCGTCAGCTTTGACTAGTATATTCAGGATAGTGTGTATCGCTTTCACATCGTTTGCAGCCTAAAACTGCGGTGGTGTTTCGGGACAATTGTTCGGTAGATTAAAAGTCATGAGCCCTATGCAATTAAGCAGGGTATTGTCCCATTTTCCTTCTCAGGTCAGCTCGTAATCATCCTGATAATCTGTATCTTGGATGTCGTGTTGTCGTGGCCTTTCGTGAGCGTTTAAAACCGCTACTTAGGAAGCACGTTAAAACCATCAGTCGAGATCCCAGACGATAAGCTGGGAACAAAGAAGATGAATGGCAGGAGCCTCAACTAAACCTGAGCATGCGTTATGCAAGATGAAACACGATAGCCTGAAGCTTGATGAATGATAGTATACAATGGTTTGCATAGCTTTTCCATAGCATTATCAACAGAATTCATCTGTAGCAAAAATACGACGCATTCTAAGAGAGCGGCCTCCCGTTTTTCAACAGCATTTTCTCAGCGTGAGCAAGCAACTATAGTCTCGAAAAAGAGTCTTGCAGGCTCACGGCACGCCTATGAAGGGAAAATGACCACTTCTGCGCTTTTTCTCCGATGGCAACATTGCCTCCAATGGCTTCGAAGGCAGGCCTACACACTGTCAGTGACAGGCGCCAATGAAGGTGGCTATCGCCCTCCACCAGGGCGATGTTACATCACAGGACTTGACCTACTGAATAGCTCTGCATGTGTTGAATACGTAGAAAGCTGTGTCATGCGCCCCTGATTCACTCGACATCGTTCGTTCCGCCCGAAAAGCTCCCTTCACGCTGCAAAATCATGCAAGGTTTTGTCCATAGCAAGGCCCCTATGAAGGTGAGAATGCAGCAGCGGCGCTTTAATTGTAGTGTCTTTCATTCGCTAGTACATAGCGTTCCAGCCAAAGGCAAAAGTCGAGAGTTACACAACTTCAGTCGTTCGTTACTTGGGTGGGGGGGGGGGGGGGGACGGGGACGGGCAGATAAGTCAGTCAATTTCGGTACCACGATCAGATCTTACGACATCCTTAGTAAAACGTGGTCAGAGCTGGTAGTTTAACATTTGAGGGCTTATTTGTTTCGATGTTATACAAAAGGTGAAAATAGTTTAGTCAAGCGGTGTGTAGGTATATATTATCGCATTGCTGCACCTATATCTCGTTTTTTGGTCAGACAGGGCACCCGGGCGGCGCTCAGTCAGAGGTCTTCCCGGAACGCACACGGCCGCACCAGCCTCAGGCTCCTCACCTCGTCCGTGGAAGAAGTCCTTGTAGTAGAAGCTGCCGACGTTGGAGTGCTCGATGGCCGTGCCGGGTCGGCTGAAGGGGCACCGGTGCGCCGGCCAGTGCGTCATGCCCACGGGCTGCTCCAGCACCGAGAGACCGCAGGAGGCCGGCGGCCGGTGCAGCAGCGTGTCCGGCCGCGCCGCCCGACGCCGCCGCCCGCTGCCCGGCGTCACCTGCAGTGCTCGGTCCCGCTCCCCGCCCAGCTCGTTACGGAAGAACGGGCAGCTGGAACGGGAACGAAAGACGGTGAACTGAGGCCAGGCGGGCGCGTCTGAGCACGCGAATGTTCTGTCTTTGATCCTGCCGCTGCGGGCAGTACTTGTCCTTATGTTCCAATGCAGCGCGTAGAGTAGCGGTTCTGCGCGCCGTATCGCGTCCTTCAGGTTTGCCCTGTTAAAGCTCTGAAAGCGCATATGTGGAAGCTGATGTGGAAGTCTTCCACATCAACTGCAGTCAAAAGACGTGCGTCCAGTCGTGCCACACCTCCACCGCCCGCAGCGCCGGTACCGCCACCGTACCTGCAGACGAGGTCGTTGCTTCTGTCGTCGCCGCGGTCCTCGTCCTCGTCCGGCGGCGGCTCGGCTGCGTCGGCAGGCTCATCCGGCCGCCGCCGCTCGCCTCTGGTCGACGCCGGCATGGACGCGGCGCTGGCGCCCGTCGCCGTGTTCTTCCGGCACGCCAGCTGACTGTGGCGGCGCGCCGCAGCCGCCAGGCTCACCAGCATGCTCTGGCAGTCGTAGTGGACGAGCGCGCGCCGGCGGCGCCGCTCCTCCACGCGCGCCTCGGCGTCCAGCGCGTCGGACGAGCGGCTTGTCTCTGGCTCGGCGCGGCCGTCACGCGTGCCGCCGCCGCGCAACTTGCGGAAGAGCGATGGCTCGGCCGCCTTGCGGCTGCTGCGCCGGTCGCGGTCCCAGAGCCGCTGCAGGCGCGAGCGCAGTCGCGGGCTCGCGTCGGCCGCGTCGGCCGCGTCGGCGGCCGCGCGCGCCGCCGCCACCTCCGGGTCCAGGCTGCGGAACTCGGTCAGCACGGCGAACGCCGCGTCACCGCTGGCGATGGCGTCGATGGAACCGTGCGAGCCGAACTCGCGGCGCAGCGCGCCGCCGCCGGCCGCCGGCTCCAGCTCCAGTGACGAGTTGCTGCGGTACAGCGGCGCGCCGGCGCCCGCAGCGGCCGGCACCGGCCGCGGGCCGCGTGGGCCGGCCCGCTGCGGCGCGTCGGCTGGCCGCGGTGTCGGGTAGAGTCGCTCGCTGCAGCTGGCCCGGGCGGCCGGCGGACCGAAGGCGGCGCGGGTGGTGGCGCCGCCGTACCCCTGCATGCGCGTCTGGGTGTAGGTGCGCTCGCGCGGCAGCAGGGCAAGGCCGGCCGGCGGAGGCATGAGCACACTGTCCATGGCGGCAATGTGGGAGTTCTCCCCGATCACATGCCGCGTGGGGCCGCTGCGGGAGACAGAGGGGGGCCGTTACGGAGGTAGTGACGCGGTGATGACGTCACGGTCGTGTGGCGGTCAGATGCATGACGCAGCAGTCGGAGCGCAACGGTGAAGAAGTGAGTCGTTGACAAATGTGGTGTGCCGGGTGTGGTTTGTGAACAGTGGTGAACAGGTGAAGTGGTGGTGAACAGTGGTGAACAGTGCGGTGAAATTGCGACAAACCGGAGACTGGCGCTATGGCAAAACGAGAAAACTGCGATCGCTTACAACGAGCCACAGCAGAACAATGACTAATCATCCGACCCAGACCTTGGACACGTCTCAACAACGAACAAGGCCGCCACTCCCACACGGCGCTCTTCCAATTAGGAGCTGCCTGATCAGGGTAGCATATTGGCGACTACGGACAATGGGGACAAGCGCCACTGATCGCTCTGTCCAGTGGGTAGACATCAGACATGGTGCATGCCAGGATCTGGTCCTTAAACTAGCCGCTGATATCCCGCTACAATGGAAACCCCCACCCAGAGGCACGCGGGAGCTGGTGAACCGCACGGTGACCACGAGATGCATCATCTGGGAGGTACTGGGACAATACGAAATAAATGACAATGGGTTTTTATATGTGTATCTATATAAATATATGTATATATAAATGTGCATATGTACATATACATACACACACACACACACACATATATATATATATATATATATATATATATATATATATAATATATATATTATTTATTTATTTATACATATATCAATATAATATCTAGATATATGCATATATCTACATATCTATGCAAGCTCAGCTTGGGCGAGCGTTTTGCTACAGCCATATTCCCTGCCATCAGATTTCGATCAAAGCACGCAATCTCATTTCGAAATGAGCACAAGGTAGCGCAGATCTATTTTTGTTCATGAATGTGGATAATTGATCCAGCCACCAAAAACGCTTGTCGAGTTTTGCCATCACGTGCAGCCCTAAGCATACCGACAGTAAAACCGGTCGTCACGTTGTGACGATGCTACCGCAGTTTACTTGTCACGTTTCACCTTGGTGTACATCCCGCAGTGTATTGAGATAGAGATAGGGATGGAAAGAGAGCCCGCAAATAACACGCGCGCAGCTTTCACCTCCTGTCTGCCAAAAGGCGATGCGTGGGAGAGAGAAAAAGGGGACCCGTGCGCGCGAGCTATGGAGCATGTAAGTGGACAAACTTGAAAGAGTGGGTGGAATATGGCATTTCGTTAGAAGTCTTTACGATGCCTGAAAGACACCTCACACAAGTCCGGGGCAGCACAGGGGGCGTTCAATCTGCCGCACCAGAACCGCTACTGCACCCAAGCACCCCTGCCCGCACCAGACCCGCTGCCGCCCAAGCGTCCGTCCCGGACCCGCTGCCGCCCCAGCGTCTGTGTCCGCCCCAGACCCGCTGCCCCCTCCCCCTCCCCCAGCGTCTGTGTCCGCCCCAGACCCGCTGCCCCCTCCCCCCTCCCCCAGCGTCTGTGTCCACCCCAGACCCGCTGCCCCCTCTCCTCTCCCCCAGCGTCTGTGTCCGCCCCAGATCCGCCGCCGCCCTCACCACCCCTGCCCGCCCCAGACCCGCCGCCGTCCAGCGTCTGTGTCCGCCCCAGACCCGCCACCGCCCCAGCGTCGGCGGCCGGAGCCGGACCGGCTGGCCGGGACCGGTCTGTGACTCAAGGAGCGGTGCGCCGCCCGCCTCCGCCGCCCCGGCGAGCGGAGGTTGTGAGTCACACAGGGCCGCCGGCATGGCTGTCGTTAGCCCAGATTCCGGCAATGCCGCCAGATCTAGGGGCCCCAGTCACTGGCTCGCAGGTGATACGCGAGGGGAAGGAATTGTGTGCAAATCTCCTTCCAGACAAGGAAGGGTCTCCAGGGGGGGGGGGGGGGTCACAAGAACAGGAACACTGATGAAACAATCAGGTGTTGGTTCTCACTGATATTTGCAGGACAAGTTGCACATTGAACAACTGGACATCCAGAACCAGAAAACCGCTGCAGGTTTCCGACTGCAACAAATGCAGAACAACGAAAGCAACGTCAGTCATCCAACGGGAGCTGTGCCTCGCTGTGTCGTGGCACTATGGCCTCAATACTGCGCTACAATACTGCATGTGGCAGTGGTGCTGACCATCGGTATGCGTCAGATGCGTTCAAGGAAGATCTCCGCAGAAGTCTTACCGCGTATGTGACGAGCTGTTGGCAAAAAAGATACCATATGAACAATGAGCTGATTCCCTAACTTCCCAAATACGCACTTAACAGAAATAGCCCTTTGCTGGCCGACATCGACTCAAAGGTGCAAGCAGTAAATAGCTCGATGGGGATGTACAACTGGACGTACGGTGCGACATCTCCACCTAACGGCCGACTGTCCATTCCCGTGGTTCTCAGCATCGCGTGTGATCAGTGCCTGCACGGGCTGCGGTCCGCCGCCCAGCGTCCACAAACGCCCGCAGGCCCGCGGCGCGCCCTGCCGGGCAGCAGCTGCCCCGTCCAGCCGGGCGCGGTAAACAGAGTCGCCGCCGTGGGGACAGCGCGTGCCGCACCGCCGGGGTCGCCCCGGCGCAGCTGGAGCCGGCAGCCAATCAGCGCGCGGCACGGGTTCAATCGGCCGGCAGCTGAGGGCAGCGCCAGATGGCCGCTGTGGTGAGACGCTGCCGGCGGCGCGGCGGCGCCCGGCGCCGTCGGCTCGGTGTCAGACGAGCTGAGGAGACCGCACGTCTTACCTGCGCCCGGTGCCGGGTACGCGCGGCATAGCATGGCCCACGAGCGCGCAACAGAGCGAACAGACCTCTCGGTGTGTGAGCTTTGCTGAGCGTGGCTCGGATGTCTTCGTGTTCCGGTCAGGAAATGCATCCCCTGGTGTGCGGCGTGTGATGCCGTAGTGCTCACGCATGGCCAATAGCTACACGATCCCACAGTCCGGATGCCGGATCGATTTCAGAATCTTGGCTCGCCTGCAATCCTTCGTCAAATCAGCCGGCATGCACGCTTTTACGGCAGCTGGCCATCACGAATGGCAAGGCAGGTTGTGGTTTTGTCTGCATGTGAAGGAAGTGCATACAAAGCCAGAGCCATGGAATGACGAAACTGACCAGAACGTCAGGAATGCAGCGGCTGTGGCCGAGTACCCTACAGTGATCGATAGGAGGCAGTGACGCCCTCGGCGTGCACTGCAGGAGACAAAGCAGAATCCGTCTCGATGTCCGGGTCCGATCTGTGACGTCATTGGAATCATAGCTTGGTCGGGAAAGCTGGTGACTCAGACTGTGCGTCATAAACTGCACCTTAAACGCACCTGAAATGTCGTCTGGCGATTTCATCGATACTCCATGCCGTGCTTATATGAACGGTCAAGCTAGCGAAAGTTCTTACTGCAAACGAGCAGCATCCACGGAGTAACTCACACGTGGGTAGACAATGCTGTATGGAAGATGTGGCCGCAGCCATAGCCAACTCAACCTGAAATCAGAATTATTTGCGGGCATACTCCCGTTGAGGTACACTCACTCATGCTAACACATCACACGAATTTCTTCAAAACAACCCACACGCGGTCCGCGCGTGGGCATCGCCGATTTCACCAAGCCCGCGCCAGTAACAGCTGATCAGCTCCAACTGGACCCTGGCCCAGCGGACCATTGGTTCGCGCATACGAGCGGCGTCCATGCCTGCTATGCAGCCCCTGCCTCGTCCGATGAGAGCGGCCCTCATGCCCGCTATGCAGCCCCTGCCTCGTCCGATGAGAGCGGCGCCCCATGCCTGCTTATGCAGCCCTCGGCCTCGTCAGATGAGAGCGGCCGCCCATTGCCTTGCTATGCAAGCCCCTGCCTCGTCCGATGAGAGGCCGCCCATGCCTGCTATGCAGCCCCTGCCTCGTCCGATGAGAGCGGCGCCCATGCCTGCTATGCAGCCCCTGCCTCGTCCGATGAGAGCGGCGCCCATGCCTGCTATGCAGCCCCTGCCGTCCGATGAGAGCGGCGTCCATGCCTGCTATGCAGCCCCTGCCTCGTCCGATGAGAGCGGCCCTCATGCCCGCTATGCAGCCCCTGCCTCGTCCGATGAGAGCGGCGCCCATGCCCGCTATGCAGCCCCTGCCTCGTCCGATGAGAGCGGCGCCCATGCCCGCTATGCAGCCCCTGCCTCGTCCGGTGAGAGCGGCCCTCATGCCCGCTATGCAGCCCCTGCCTCGTCCGATGAGAGCGGCGCCCATGCCTGCTATGCAGCCCCCTGCCTCGCCCGGACTGCCACCGCCATCAAGACCAGAGCGAGGTCCAGCCGGGCGCGCTCTTTCACGAGCTT